AAAATGATGATAGTGAAAAGATGGTAAAATAAAAGTGAAATAATGGTGAAATGATATAAATGAGGGCAGATAATGGTAAAAATAATGAAACTTGAAGCAAAAGCATGGCAGAATAGATGTAAAATGATGGCAAAATAATGGTAGAATTACTTCTAATCTGACAATGTAAATAATTTGAGTAGAAGTAATTATTTTATAGTTGAATAAAACTAGTACTAAATCTAAACTGTTATTTTTTTTAATTCCTTGGCTTAATCTTTTTATATTATCAAATTCAGGATTATTTTTTAGTTCGTAAAAATTTTATCTAAACCAGAAATTTCATTTTTTAGTTTTTTATAAGCAATTGTTAAATATTCAATTTTTTTTTTCTCCTTTCTTTAATACAATAGTTCTGCTACTTTTTTCCATATTTTTTATTCTATTTAAAAAAGTAATTTCAAGAAGTTCTATAGTGACAGCAAATAATCCTTATTTTAAAATCATTATTGCCTAGTCGCTTAATTTTAATTGCAAAAACAACTTTATCCTTAACTAGAGTTTGGAACTGGATGCACCATCCGGTTTTTAAACTGGTTCCACCCGTTTTTTTTACGATTCGGTTCAATTCGGATTCATGCTGCAAAAACCGGGTTGCGTTTAAAGCGAGTGCAACCGGGTGCTCAACCCGGTGTGATATCAAAACTTTATAGTGCCGGCCCGAATTACGAAATTATAAATCACGTGACACCAGGTAAATAGTTTAGCCACCGGGATACCTTAAATTTTTGTTATCAGTTATAGAAAATTATGCTACACAAATTCTGGAGGGTTTGTAATTCTGGCTGGAATTATAAACTCGGCCAATTTTATGCCGATCACATTTAATTCTGGCCAAAATTACAGTGTACGATACACGTGACAAATTCATGGCAAATTTGTAATTTGTCACGTGCCCCGTACATGCGTAAGCAAGATGCAAAAATGGAAACTCTAATCCAGGAATGTAGATCATAGTAGAATTCCATATGTTAACTATTAATAATTGAAAACTAGGAACGTGACTTCAGATGCGGCTAATTATAATTAAACAAATATAAAACCAGGTACAAAAATCGGTTTCAACTGGGTTTGTAAAAACCGATTTGAAAAGGGTCGAACCGGTTGCACCCGTTTTAAATCTGGTTTCCAAAAATACAACCAGTTCCAAACTCTATCCTTAACTTAGCCCAAATTTTTCCTTTTCAATCAAAATTAAGAAATAACTAAGGTTGCTTGTCTAAACCTCTTCAAAATCCTACAATTAGTTTTGTCAAAATTTTACTATAGATTTATTATAGTTTCAGCAGAGTTTCGCATTTATAATAAGTTTCGGCAGTTTCACTTTTCTCCAAAGTTTCGCCAGTTTTTTAATATAACTTTAATATAGTTTCGGCAGAATTTCGCTTTTCGGCGAAACGCCATCTTGCCTAAATCCCTAAGTTTTGGCAAGCAACCTTAAAAATAACACAAATTTTAGAGTTGAGTTTTTTGTTTTTTTGTCTTATTCAAGTTTTTAACTCTTTTATTTTATTTTTTTTTAACTAGATATTCTCTGGTTAATTCTTAATTGGTTTGATTTGCTTTTCTTAAATTAATTAGTTCTTTCTCTAATTGTTCTCTTTTAGTCTTAAAATTATCAACTCTTTAGATTAAACTATTTAAATTTTTAGGTTAATAGTTTACATAACTAAAACTTTATAGAAACTTAACATTTTTAATTAATATAGAATTGATATCATTAAGTTTATTTTAACTGTATTGTTTTGATATCATTTCAATATCATTTCAATATTGATTTAATATCAATATGATATCATCAAAATAAAGTATTATTATTTCGATATTATATAGTCAGACTTCTATGTACCGATACTGTTATTTTGGGGAAAATATATTGGTATATCAAATTATCGTTACATAACTGTCATTAGTGAATCATAATGCGGGCCAAAATCCAATTCTTGCCAGCATTATGTAAACTCTGGATAGCTAATATATTAAAATGTCATGTGATTTGGATGGAACCTTTATGTTAATTCTGGCCAAATTCATAGTGTTGACCTGAATTAATACCAGTGTAACCTAAAGTATTGGTATATTTTACTATGTATTAATTATAAATGAGCAAAGAAAAGTATCGGTACATATTACATCATGAAACCATATATAATATCAGTACAATGAGATTTTTTTATTAATTGTGAAACGGGACATAGAAAATTTATCAGTACAGGCAATTATCGGTACATAGGATATCAGTACATAGAGGTCTGACTGTATTGATATTAAATTAATATTGAAATAATATTGAAATAGCACGTCTGAAACCTGTGTCAGGTTACATCAAGTTCAGTGATAAATAACAGGTGACAAATAAGTTTTAGACCACAAAAAAAAACTAAATCCTTCAGATAAATAGTGTTTTTGGAATTTGGACTTGCATGTGATCATGTGACACTAAATAATGCTAAACATCACACTTACTCTAAAGCTAATATATTTGGCATAATCTTGGTACAAATTTCAAATTAGCATTGAAATGATAATTAAAATGACATTGAAATGACATCTTTAAGTTAAATTTAAATATGTTATTTCAATGTCATTTCTATTATCATTTTGATATTATTTTGATATTAAAGTGATAATATTTTATTTTGATATTGCATCCATATTAAATCAATATTAAATCAATATTAAAATAATATTAAAATGATATCGCTTGAAAACTTAAAGTTTTTGTAAAGAAACCAAATATTTTATTAATTTACTTTGAAAGGCTTTGTAAAGTTTTTAATGAAAAGCAATTTGCTTTTTGGCTTTTTTTCCAAAAATTTCTATTGAGAGATTATTAATAAAAACTAACTTTCTCTTATATTCATTAAGTATTTGGAAAAAATTTGAATTCTCATTTTCATTTTTTCTGTTTCTTTTTTACATTTTTCCTTATTCTCAAAATCAACAAAATCAGTTAAAACAATAGTGGTGAAATTACCAATTTCTTTATTAAATACAATTTTTTTAAAATTTGATATATTTCAAATTTTTCTTCTGTAAATCTCCCTTTTATTATAAAAAGAACTTGATTTAAACCATTCTTTATTTCTTAATAAGTTTTTGCTACTTCTTTCAATACTTCTTTTGTAGTTAGCATAATATTGCCAAAACCAATTATATCAACAACTTCAAATTTTATCTTTTCATTTTCAAAATATTTACTATTTACCTCTATTTTAAACTCTTTTGTTTGGATCTCTCTTGTTTTACTTATTAATATTTTGCCTTCTTCAAACTCATTAGTTCTACTTAAAATATTTGCTAATATTAATTTTCCACTTTTGGTTCAACCAACTAATATTTTCTTTTTTTTTTCCTTAAAAAAAGAAATCAATGATTTAACAAGCAGATTGCCTTCAGTATTAAGATTAATTAATTCTTTTTATTTTTCTAAACTAAGTTCAGTTATCTTATTACCACTAATATTCAAGTTTTTCAATTTAAGGACATTTTGTAAACCAAACTCTTAACAGTTTATTTTTATTATGATTATTTCAGTCAAGTTTGGATAATTAAAAATAATTATTTACAAACTGAACTAACTTCTTTATTTATCTTACTACTGACTCAAAGAAACTGAAAAAAACTTGTGAAAGGAATAATCATTATTTCTTCCAATTGTGGATAATTCTTGATAATTAATTCTTTTCTGGTTAACATCTCTCCAAATCTCTCTTCCTCCACATTGTTAGGGTAAATAATATTTTTGCTAGATTTATCACTGTAGTATATATTTAGCTAATGTTAAGCATTCATCATAAATTATTATTTTAACAAGAAGTTTCTCAACTTTTGTATATTACTAAAAATTTTGTAACTAGAATTAAATATCAACTATAATAAAATTTATGAATTTGGTATTAATTGCAATCTGCAACTGCAACTCTAAGTTTTAAGTTTTATTATATAGCTGTAAATTTCACAACTATTTAAAAAACAGTAGAGATATCAACTTTATTTGGTATAAATTTTTATAAATCAGATGTCTTCTTTAGAAACTGGATTTTTTAATTAAAATTTTATTTCCAACCATATTTTTCACATAAATTTGAAAATAACTTTAATTTTTATAATATAAAGTTTGAAACTAAAAGAATTTATATTATTAAAATTTACTGTATATATAATGTAATCATTTTGCAGAAAATCTCTAAATCATTTTTATTTATTGAAGTTAAAAATATGAAAATATTACCATTTAATTCATTATATTATAATAAATTTAATAAGCTTTGTACAATGTAATATTTTAATATTTGCAACCAATTGGTAAAACATTATTAAAATATACTATTGAATTTTTTAAAAATTCACTTTTAATATGCAAAATGTCAAGGTATTATACTATCTATTAATTGTAAAAGAATAAATAAAAGCTCATTGGATTTATCATAATGAGATGCATTAAAATGTTCTTAGTAGTAATAAATGAATTGTTTATTAGCATTTTTTTAGTTTAGAGACTTTTAAGATAACATATCATTTATTAATTACAGAAATGAATTCAATGATTACGATTACTAAATGGTAAGAAAATATGGTTAGCATTTTTGAAAGTACTATCCAAAATTCCGAATCACTTTTAGAGTGAAAGGGATGCTTAGAGTGGAAGAGGTAACGTTTATTTCTATATGGTCGTGTGAAAACGAAATTTTTATATAAAATAACATTTAACATTTTTAGCATGGAACGAGACCCTGCTTCAAAAAGTAATAATATCACTTCCAATTGAAATCTTTCAACATGCTCTTGCATTACTTCCATTAAAAGAAATATATTCATTCAAGCGAGTAAATGGTATAATTTATTGTAAATTATTACTGTGCAATTCTAATCAATGACTGAAAAGAATGGCGAATCACGAATATCAAATTTATAAAATTTATAGAAATCTAATTATATGTAATAAAAACAATTTTTCATAGCTATATTTATTTTTTTTTTATTATAATATTCATCTGAGGTCGGTGAATACGTAATTAAAACATGATACCCACTATAGCTACATCTCATGATTATTATTATTATTCATAAAAACCGCTTCATTATGTCAAAGGTGCAGGAAAGGTTTTTTTTAGTAAAGGCCAAAGTAAATTTATGAGAAAGTAGTCTTACTTAGTAAAGAAAAATTATCATTTAAGCGTTTACAATCCTTCTAGTTCTTTAATGTTATCCAACAATGTCTTCCCATGTTCAACAAAATTTATTGGGATAGCCTCCATAACTTGGTATTTAATTATGTTTCTTTCCTAATTAAGATAAAATAAGTGTATTTTTTTTTTAATAAAAATAATGAACTGTATATCAACACTACATTAGTATTACCTTGTAGGTTTCCATTTTCGCACGACATTTGAAGATGTAAGTTTTGAAATATCGAGAGTCAATCCAATTTTCAAAGGCCAATTCCTCATTTTCCTATTTACAGTAAGCAAAACTTTAATTATTAAATTCGAACTAATATTATCATATATTATGGCAAACATATACCTTCATACTATTTAACTCGTTGGCATTTTTACCAATAATTGTATTTCCTGTGTCATTAAAACATTGGAACCACATACTATCCGTATGGTCAGATATGTTCATTCCAAATATATATCTATCTCAGCAAATAAAAAAATTTTATTAATCATTTTATGAGTGCGAAAAAATAAGTTACTGTCATAATATACCTGTATTCGACGTGATCATATGAGCGCGAGCATTTTTCACACCGATAAGAATTTTCGCCATCTTCAATAACTTTTTTGTTACAACCTTCATTGGGACAAGCAGCATAGTACATATTTTCTTTTTTGATGAATACAACTGTCCCTCTTGTAACAAAATATTCAGCCTGTAAATTACATACAAAAAAAATTTAAATAATGAAAAAAAACTTGAAACAAGTAAATTCAATAATATATACCTTTTCATTATTGCCAATATTCTCATTAATGATTTGTGACATTGTCTTTTCGGGAGAATTTATAGACCCCGTTGAATAAGAAGAACCTGAAAATAACTTTGTTTCGATTTTTAGTCCTCCGTTAGCCACCCTATAGTATATAACAATAAAATAGATTAAATAAAAATACGTGCTATAACTATATATAATTTCTAGAAATATCTTACCATTTACGTATAGAATTAGTCTCTGGTATATTAGGATCGATCAATAGTTTACTGGTACCATACATTGAAAGACTCCTCCCTATATTAAAAAAATAAATATGTTACTAATATAATTTAATATTAAATTAATTTTTTGTCAAAACTTACCTTGAAAATCGCTAACACGCGTATTTTTACACACAATAATAGTGCCTATATCTATGTGTCTAAGCTCATTAACTTGTTGTCCCCATGTAGTTAATCTAACTTCAAATTCACTTTCGTCTACTATTATAAGATCCCTTTTGTCAATCTAATCAAATTGTATAAAGGTTAATGAATTATGACTAATTAAAAATAATAAAATAAACAATCGGTGTACCATTTTTTGATTTTTTGTCATTACTTGGGTCGTCTCAGAAATTTCTTTAATGGCGGCCACAACATCTATTTAAATAACATAAATAATATATTAATTAAACAAATTATCATATTATATCAATATTCGATTACTACTAACCGACTGTATTGTCTTTTTCATAGTTAACCAAATCAGAAATTTTAACAGGGTTAATTTTTATTTTAATGGGCATAACGGAATTATTAGCCTTGAAGAAGAACAATATTAGTATTTTTATAAAAATAAGAGTGCATTTATTAGATTATAATAGATTAATACCGGTTCAATTATGGTACCAGCCTCAATGGTTATTTCATAATCATTTTGAACATTTGAGAACTGCTTCTTAGCTATATTGACTTTTCCCTTAGAAATATAATACACCTAATACAAGAACATTTTGAAATTAGAACATTCGAAATACATAAAACTTAATAAATAAAATTATTATTATTATTTTTTTTATTAAGACCTTATTCAATTCCAATAGATTCATATATTCATCCGCTTGTTGATTGAAAGCAGTTGCTCTAATTTCTCCCTATTACGTTTAAAATTGTTTAATAAAATCTTTTAACAAAATGGACGTGCAAACCGCATAATTTTTATACTTACAGTGTCATCCATTAAAGTTACATTAAATAACTTGCCAGACCCACGTGAATTCGTCCACGTCTTAAGATCTGATTTTTGAACAACCATTGCCTTGAGTTTCCATCTTTATTAAAAAACAATATGTCAAAATTTATTCTCACAAGGAAAAAAAAGTTATATTAAAATAGATACACACTTATTATGGTATGGACTTATGTTATCAATAGAACAAATTCCTTCATCTGAATTTTTATTTGAACTTCTTTGCGGAGTGCTAAATAAACATATAAACATTTAAATGAGTTATAAGAATAAAAATAAACAATAAATATAATAAAATGATTTTGCTCATAATTTTACATATTGTTATTGTGGGAGCTATTAATTCCAAAATTAGAAGGAACAGGTGGTCTTAATTGTGGCGGCTGTGGCGGTTGTTGTGGTTGAATTGGATTTGGACGAGAAATTCCAGTTCGAGAACGTTCAGTATCATCACTAAGGTGTCCGTGTCCATATAATTCCAAAGGTACGTCTTTAACCAGTTCAAACCCTAAAATAACCAAGTACCTAAAATATCGAAATTTAAATTTGCTCAACTTAAGTTACATTGCCGGCATAATTCTCAAAAATAAAAAAAAAAAGTATTACTTCGATGTGTTTTTACTGGCTTGAAGTGGGATAGAATTACTAAGGTTATAATTGGTCAACTTAATTATCATGCCTCTATCCAGCTTTTTTCCGTTGCATACTGTCTTAATTAAATGTTCTGGAATTATGCCTAATGAAAGCGAATAAAATTACTTTAATTTTACTTAAATCGTTTTATAATAGTGATAAATACCTTGAATAAGTTCAAAGCCATCCGAAAGCCCAATCCTATTAAAATAATTTTTTTTTTTTGGTATTTAGTTACTTTAATTTCTTCAATAAAGACGCGTTTTTAAATGTGTTACACGAGTTGGAAGGAGGACGCGTTATTAAAATAATACGCGTTAGCAATTATATCCCGATTTTCTTCGCTTCCTTACTAAAACTCACTTATATCTTGAGCCACCTTGTTCACCGACGCCTGGGTTAACTCTCACTAACTGGAGGACCGGATTTTTTGGCCTAGACGATTCATTTTCATCGAGCATGCCTCTAATGCATCCAAGGGAAATTATACTACCTACATTCGTTTTAGACATTTTTTCCTCTCTCTTTCTTTGTTATAATTTGACTCAAAGCTATTAAAAGAAAAAAGTCAAAAAGTCTAAAAAGTCTGAAGTTTTTGACATCGTAACTTATTTAAGTCTATGAAGGCGTGAACTCGAGGTTACAAGTGGCGCAGCAAACTAAGTATCAACACTGTAGCAAAAGTATCGTTCTTGACCCGCCACGTTGACCCGCATAATATATTTTACAAGAGGGGTCAAGATGATGCAAATACTGAGATCCTATTTGTTCATATTAGTCATGTTAAAAGTAAACGACCACATGATTTTATTGTCTTCATATTATATAAATTAATTCTAAAAAGTAGAGAATCTAATTATTAAAAACCGGGGTTAAGTTATATTATATAGTAATATATAATAGCGTGGAATCTGATGACGCAGCAAATTAAAGTACGAATTTTTTAAATATGATGTAAAAACTAAAACCATTAGCATAAAATTATACCATTTGGCTAACTTTTTACTAGAAGTCCGGTAAAATTTTCAATAATTAGAAATAACTTTCCTATGAGCCTAAAAGTAAAAATTCATTATTCGCAACGTTAAAAAATAAGGCATTTTTACCTTTAAGCCTATAAGTAAGTCATTTATAGTGCTCAAAAAATTTACCGGACTTTCAACAAAAAGTAAGCCAAATAACATAATTTGATGGCAATAAACTTAGTTTTTATATTATATTTTAACAATTAGTACTTTGGTTTGCCATGACGCGCTATTATATAATGACCCCCGATTTTCGATATAGGACTCTCTACTTTATTTGCGGATCACGAATTAATAGAAATCATGGCAATTCTTCGAATGTAATGTAATTATTAATATAACTCATTTATCTTTTTTATTATTAAGAATCTTATTAATTGAAGCTAATTTTATGTCTTTGAGGTATTATATTAAAAAATATTATTTTTAAAAGTTGACGAATAGCGAATTATTGCAAATAGAGACAAGATTCTATCTATTGATACTAGAGATATAAATAAAATACTGCCATTTGATAGCTCTTAATACTAAATTAACCTTTTTTATAATTATTGTTATTTTTAAAAAACTAAAAAATTACAAATTGAAGTAGCTTTAATTTTAGTTAGAGGAATCTATCTGCAAAAAATTCATGTATGAGATCATTAGTAATTTTTAGTAATTTTTTTCCATTCAATTTTCATTCCTTAAATAATACTCTTTATGTAAACCCATTCAACACTAACATATTTTTAATAAATAATATTTATCCCAAAGTTTCAAATAATTTTACAATGATATTTTTACGCCACGCCAGATTCCCATTTTCTGCAAATCAATAATTTTATTTTTTTATAGTTTAAAGGGGAAAAAATTCATGCAAAGTGACAAACCAATATTAATCACACAATATTAAAACTTCCAAGGTTAAAATTTTATTTTTTTAAATTAAATATTAGCTTGCTCTTTACCAGGGAGTGTGTGATCGGTTTTTGTCGTCATCTGACATTGAAGTAACAGCTTTCGTTCAGTTACGAGCACAAGGTAACTTCTTCCCTGCACGCGGGTTATAAGGTTTTCCTTCCTTTTTTTTTGCAAAAGACTAATGATACTGCTATCATTATTCACATTTTTTTTTTTTTAAATAAAATTGCTATTAAGATTAGCCGATTTAGTTTAAACTTCGGCAAACGAAATATATGTAAATTTACATCATTGACCACGAGCTCGTTTGGCCTGGCGGGCCCGGAAAAGGTCGAATTCCGGTGGGCGATTGATTCCTGGGCCGCTACCTAATATAATATAAATTGAATAGTTAAAATGCTTATATGTGATAGATGCAGATTTATAAAAGAATTATTGAGCACTTACCCCGATCCGAGGAATCATCGTCTTCACCATCATAATCTCGTCTTCTCCTCTTGGGTGCGCCACCCTAATTATTAAACAAAAAAAGTTAATATCAAGGATTTAAATAAAAGTAAAATTAAAATAGACAACTAACTCTTTGTTTGCCAAACGTTTCGGTTTGGCGAGTACGACTTCGACCTTCAGTCCTGGCCGGGCTTCTATCTCGTACCGAAGGGACCAGAATGTTGTTGTTTTTAACGATTACATTCATCAACGCGGCCGGGTTTATAATTGGCCCTGATAAAACGTTAGGTTAAAATAATTTAAACATAATACAATCTAACAAAACAAATATTTACCCTTATAATTGGAAACTGGAGTAAGTGTCGCGAGATGTCTTGCAATTTTTTCTGGAGGCGCACCCGAAACCGAACCAACGGTTGGCTGTTCTTTTTCTGCCTCCGTTTGATCATATAATAGCCACGATGACTGCATTTTCGGCCGTATAAATGTTTCTTGACTCACTGATTTCAGTAAAGCCAGTCGTTCAGGAGCAGCGGGCTCGCGTGTTTCTTTTTTATTTCTTAATACCGTTGGCGTCTTTGTCGCTGGAACCATGACGTGATCAACTATATCGATTATCAATAATAATAGATGAATAAATAGCTTAAATATAAAGAATGTACATTAACTTTAAGTTATTTACATTGTGAGCCAATTTCGTTCTTTAATAAACTTGTGTCAGGCAAACCAAACCGATCGGCAAACCTTTTTATTGACGATTCTATAAGAAAAAAAAATAATAATACCGATTAAATAAAAGATTTCAGAAGAAAAATATAAATTCCATACCTTGCGGATAAATTTGTCTTCTTCGCTCTTCAATATTTCTTATTTTAAATAGCGTGCAGTACTTATAAACGTATGGGCAATAAATATCCCAGAGTATTTTGCTCTGATCAGATGGTATTAGCTGGATATATTTCTCAAAGACCGAGTGGATGTCTAAAAAACAGTGTTAAATAACTATCTAATTATTTAAAACTGATAAGAAATTACAAGAAAGAAATTTACTGATATGATCATTTTTTTCTATAAAAAACTTCAAATATTCTGCTATATAGTTGGGATTTTCTGCTAATTCTTTCCGATCTAATCCTAATTTGAAAATTTTCATATCATCACCGGCAGGGGAATTATCGTTATCAGGACCAGCGCCATAAGTGGAATGAGCATTTTTTATATATTTACGAGCGAATTTAGAATTCATTAACGCTAAATTTATTTCATAAGTTAGATCATTATGCAATTGTAAACTTTGATAAATGTAACCTGAAAATATGCATACCGAATTCTGCATACACATTATATGTGCAAAGACGTGATAAAACCGCTTTTTCATAAAATAATTTACGAGCCTCCTCTAAACCCTATTGTAACAAATTACAGTAAACCGTTAATATTAATAATGATGATAATTTAATTTAATTTACGAAATAAGAAATTAAACGCACTTTTACGCGTCTTACGAAAGATATCAGATTTATCCAAATAATACCGCCAGCAGAAACTATTTTATCTAATTGACGTTTCTTACGCTCTTCAACCTCTAAAAGTTCATTTTTGAGACCTATTTGTTTTTTCCTTTTTAGCTCTCGAGTTTCACCATCTTCATAGGTAGTATTTTCTGTTTCTTTAACATCATGTCTCTTTATCAAAGCATCAACTTCTGCTTGCATGTCTTGCTCAATCTTTTCGTATTTTTTATCCATAATTGCTAATAAAGATTCATACGTTTTAAAATTTTCACAAAATGCTTCTTGAAAAGCATCCGGATTAGAATCACGATGTCGGTAAGAATTTTGGTTAAGATGTTCTTTCAATTCTGCATAACGCAAGTTAACCATCAAACTAAGAGCAAATAATGGCATAAATAATTTGTTATATTAAATTAAGAAACTATAATATAAATAAAGTAAAAAAGTATATAATGATAAACCTGTCTGGAATAATTTCAATTGCAGTATTCAATAGATTAACTGCTATTTCTTCTTTCGTTTCTTTAAATTCCTTTCCAATCAAGGACCCAAATAATGCCTTTGCTTCTACTTTTTTATTTTTAATTGAGGTCCAGTCTTCGTCTCTAATCGAGACCAAGTATTCAGCTGCATCATGCCTAAAAATTTTGATATCATAAATTATGATGATGGACTAGAAGTTCTTTTTTAATTTAAACTATCGTGATCTCAAAATTTACCATATCTTAGGGTAATACCGCATGTACATCATGGCTTTCTTATAAGCATAAATGATTCTTTTTGAAAGGTCCACCGACTCAAGTCGAAGAGGATTGGATTTTTCCCATTCAACCCACTTTTCCACATAATGTTTCTGCAATGAGATGAAATTATAAATACACTGTCAAACAATGACAATTAATCAGAAAAGTAAACATATTAATAATACTTGTTCTGTTTCTGACTTTGTCCATTTTAAAGGAGTCGGAATTATATTCTTATTGATTTTGTCAGTGAACCGACGTAAATCTTTAACAACTGTGGAAATACGGTCATATTGTTGTTTTTTAATCTTATATAATGTTACAAAAGATTAATTTTTTTATATTTAGAAATGACAATGAAAATAATAAATTTATAACCTACGGGTTGTTGATTAGGAAGGCTCACTTTCTTTTCGTTTTTTTTGTAACTCTTCCATATTTCTTCAATATTATTCAATGGAATTTTCAAAGCTTGTTTGTAAGCGTCTCGCAATTCATTTAGTATGTTGTCCATGGGTTCGATGCTGTTTAGAAAATTTAAATAATCTTGCCAAATAACTCCTGATTCTATATCCAACCCAACGTGATTTAGTGCATATTTATATATAGATATAATATTTCCAATAGGATCAGGTTCTGGTGGATCACTGGTTTCAACTTGATTCCGCACATTTTCAATATAATGCTTAGCTAGATCAACGGAAACAGCACAACGAAAAGAATTAGGATATAATTCTTGAACTTTACTCTTATCATCTTGGCTCAATTCGAAGTTGATGTATTCAATCCATTGACGAGACTAGATTAATCATGCAACAAAAACGATCAATATATCATAATAAGACAATAACATGGAAGAACAAACCCACAATTTATAAACAAAAAAAAAAAGTCAACCACTCAAATCATCAAAGACAGGTTCTAAGTTGACGCTGCATATTTTAAAAATATTCAAAAAGAACACCAAAACCACTCCAAAAATAAATGTGACACGAAAAAAGTTCAAAAGAAATGACTTGCACAACAAAGTATTTATTGTCATTTTTTCGCTGATATAAAATAACATGACATTCATTTCAATGATGACAATTATGATATTTTCAGCTAATTTAAGATGAAAAGACTTATAGTGTTCACTTACCACTGTGGGGAATTTGTCTGTAAAATTTCTAAACGTCTCTCTAATTTTATTTTGATCTCCTTTATTTTTCACTTCGTCAAGTAAAGATAGCCACGCTTCCGTATCATATACATTTTCAGCTATACGAAGCTCGAGTGTTTCAATTTGTTGGCTCTGTCGTTGTTGTACCGCACTAAGTTGTTGTTGTGCAGCAGGCGGAATCTGCCATGAGCCAGGCTCCGCTGGTACCACTTTTTGTCTTTGATTAGTTGACGCTGATGAGGTAGCGACATGAGGTTTATTAATTATACTAGAATTAGCATTTGTTCGTCGTTCATTAACGTTCACACCATTTGTAAATTGCTTTCGCCCAGCTGGTCTGTTTATGCCTCCGGCTATCGTAGTTGTTGGATTAGGAGCGGTATTTGCAGCATTACTGGTATTGATCAGAGTTGGATGCAAATTAACGTAATTGTTGGGTCTTTCCTCAGTCCTAGTCTGAGGAACTGTAGGTTGTAGAATATATGGAGGCTGTTGTTGAGGCTGGTATATAGTTTGTGCTGGGTAAACAGCTGCTGTTGGCTGTTGTGGTTGTAAAAATAACATTTGTTGAGTGTTTTGTTGAGGCATTTGTTGAGAGTGTTGAGGATTATATACTGTTTGTTGCTGTTGGTATGTTTGTACGGGAAAACTAGATTGTTGTCCAGGTTGCCCGGGTTGCCCAGATTGCCCAGGCTGTCCGGGCTGTCCAGGAATGACTGGTGGTCGCCCGGGAAAGGCCGTTGGCCCGGGAAGGTTTCTGTATTGTAATTGATCGTGATGTACTTGATTATAATTGAGATTTGAACGATCCATTAGCGTTTAAAATTTTTTTTTTGCTCGAAAAGAAAACCTTGTAATACATATTACATCGCACAATCCACATGATCGTTTTATTGAGGTACAGTGAGGGTGTACAATATTAACGTACAAACTGGCCCGAGTTTAGGAGTTATGCCCTTGCACGTGATAGCGTTAACGTTAACTTCGGCCAGTTCGTACATTCACCCCACTGTACATTAAGGAATCCTTTTATTATTGCACGTGAGCATGGTACTAAGTTTAACGCTATCACGTGCAAGTGCATAACTCCTAAACTCCGGTAGGAACTTCATTTTTCATATAAAAAATTTGGGAACAGCTGACTGTGTGAAGTGGCTACTGTACAACATTTTTGAAATAGATACAAGTTTATCAAAAAAAAAAATGAGTCATTGTAGAGACGAACACGATCATTCTCAGGATGGCCATGGACATGGTCACCATGATCACGAACATGATCACGATGGGCCAGAACGCGGAGCTGAAGAATCACTTTATTCACGTATAGATCGTGATAATGTTCGTTGCTTAAATGAGCGTGAACCTAATTCAGGCAAAAATGTTATAAAACCCTGGAATGAAAGAGAGGACACAACTAAGGTAACTATTTTTTTTTTGGTTATCATACTTATGTGGAATATATTAATAACTACTTAATAAATTTAGCATGTGGAAAGTGATATTGATGAACAATTAATTATTTTTATTCCGTAAGCAATACTTTTATCTGTACTATAAGCAAAATATACCTTTATTGATCATGTATTCAATTCTTTATTATCATGTAGTTTTACTGGTAGTATTAAATTAAAATCAATTTCGATTAAAGCGGGACCAGGTGATAGTTGTCCATCAACGTTAAAAGCGTAAGTCTCGCTCAGGATCTGCAAGATCTTTAAATTATTTTATTCATATCTGATTAAATCGAATACTATTTAGTTATATTAATCGAGATGATGTGGACTTTGATACAGTAGAAGGATTTACTGCAACTCAGGAATGGGAATTAGTACAATCACCGGATGTCGTGGAATATCAAACGAGGTAACTTTAAATTCAACTTTATTTTCTTAAGTATATACATCAGTTTAATTCTGCTTAATCCTATTTAGAATAGCAAAGATGTATAATGTAAGAAATTTGACACTTTACTTTCCTGAAAATTTCGGAGATGAAGTAACCAGAATTTATTATATTGGACTCAAAGGAGAATGGACTGAGGTGAGCAAACTTTAGCGCAATAGCTATTTCGAGTTGTTTTCTTTCTCACTTAAAAAGACATAATAAACCAATAATCAAAAGAATCAGACCAATGACCTACCTTTATATAGAATGTCTAATTACAAAGTTTGACCATATAGATCAAGAAGGATCATGTTATAACCCTTTATGAAGCTACACCTAATCCTGCTGACCACAAAAATCCTACCGGTGAAAACAAGGCTTATCAAGCTATCGATTAGGAAGTTTAATGAACGAATGTTATACAGTTGGAACTACTTCTTAATTTTATAATACCATATACGTTAAAAGCTTAACGGATCAATTTAATTTTAAGAAAATAGGTTTATTAATTCTAATATATTAATTAAAATATTATATATATTACATCCATAGAATATAAAGGTCTGTTAGCTCTAATTATTTTGCTGTATTATTTGATAAAAAGTTTAGCATGATACTATATTGCTACAAGAATAACGAAATAGCAAGGCATATACAACAAAGAATGACAACACACAAAGATAATGAGCTAAGAATCAGATAATATAAATAATACCTTACGTACCTCTTCTTGGTGGTGGTACATATAGGTTTTTTTCATTGTTCTTATTTCGTGCAATTTTTGCTAATCGTACACCATTATTTCTGTTACCACCACTTCCACCGGTTCTCTTATTAGCTTCACCGGTTCTCTTATTAGCTTGACCGGTACGAACGCTTTTTGTAACTTTAGGTGCTGTGATCTTTTGGCGAATTTGGGAGGCTTGTGAAGTAGTATTTGTTTGTGCCGATTTTTGTTTTTTATTTGGATTTGATGTCGAACCCTCAGTATTCGGGCGTTTAACACCCGTTGTTGATGACGTCAATGTTGGAGGTGATGTTGTCGTTTGTGGTGATGTACGCCAGGAAATGACAACTTTTGTAAAATGTCGTGCCACCGCAGGCTTCATTAATTCCTAATTTAATTCCAATATAGGAAATAATTAATAATTTTTCAACATGAATAGTTATAATCGAATATTACCTTTGTCATTGTAAAAATGTTTTGAGTCACAGTTTGAACATTCTCTGCCTTTTTAATTTTCTAATAAAAAGATATGAATATTAACATATGAAATAAAAAAGAATTATAATAAATTTACATATATTACCTCTATTGTTTGTTGATCTTTATTTTGGGTTTTTTGTAAATCTTTTAAACCTAATTTTACACGCGTTTGACATTTCATGGCAAATGTGTATAGGTGACGTAATCTAAATTTACGGACAAAATTATTATAGTAACCATTTATATAGCGACTTGTATAAGAGCATAAATAATTTATAACGAACCGAGAATTCATTTCTTGACCTTCAGTAATAGCCGGAACCTTAGACGCAATAGTATAAATCGCATAAACAATGTTTTCCACCTTATTTAAATCTAATTTCGGATCTTCTTCATTATTATCCGAAGGAGGCTCCGGAACTTCTTTCTAAGGAAAAAAATTTATCAATTAAATTTAGTTATACGACGTAAACGTTAATTAACTGAAATATAATGAATATAATGAAATAATACCACAAATATGTCTTTTATTAATGGTGCAGCTTCTTTTAAAGTGGTTTCATTTGGACTTCGGATAATAAACTCAACAAGATATCGTAAAACGCTTTTTTGCTGTTTTGCTTGTAAATTGCAATATATGTTTTGCGGCAACATTTTTTTTACCAAGAAAGCAAGTATCGGTGTGGTAGATATACCTTTCTGTCCAATTATGTAAGTAAAATTCAATCAATTTCATTATCAATCGAACATATATATAACGTAAACACAATGCTACCTCGAAAAATTGAATTAAAGTTTTTCCGCACAGCATAAATTTTTGAAAAGAACTCTCGTTGGAAGGCTAGATTAAACAAGAATAAATATAAGATAATGTAAAGAAAAAAAGAAAAAGAAAAAAGTATGTTTTTATAAGTTCGGAGATAACTTTTACATCGAGCTGTTCATTTTCCTTAGCAATCGCATCAACCATAGATTCCGATAATGCTTTTAAATTTTCTTTTTTCTCATACATCTTCAATGACAATAACATCTTGATAAACATTTCATAATCCGTAGCATTCGCATCGTGAAGAGCCTAAATTAAATAAATACCTTTAATAAAATTGTTTATAGTTGAATTGGTTGAATCAGTGGATGCATACTTTTTTCACTTCATCGGAAAATTTTGATTCCCAATCACTATTTCGTTGCGATAATTCCATTTTAATCCTATTCAAATCATTGGATAGGAAATTAATCGTTCGCTGACGAACTTCAGGTGACCCCTTTAATGATTGGTTAAAAATTGCAGGTATTGTTTCTGGATCTAAACGGAGAACTTGTTCAAGAGCTTTCTTAACTGCAGCAATTTCCTGTACAGTTTCTATTAAAATATCTCTTATATGAGAAATCTTGGATATAGTTCGATCCATGGTCCATATACAATAAATTTTGATTACCATTTTCTAATAATTGTACTAATGCATCGGCAATTCTAACAGCGAACTTATCGAACTCTTTGACAACGTTCGGCATATATTTGATAACCGTTAAACGCACCTGTCAATGGATCAAATTTAATAAAACGAAAATATTATCTAGCTCAAAATTGAACGTACATTTATGTCAGTATCCTCACAAAGATCAAATAATGCGTCCAAAGCGGTCTCATAGTACTCTGGAAACTTGCCAAAGAAACGAGGAATAAATTGGGCAGCAAGTCTTTTACAATTACTTGAGCCATGCGCACCAGCAATCAAGATCTCGTATGAACGTTTAATCTAATTTACGTAAAATAATAACTTAAATATGTTAAGTAAATTACACCTATTAGAATGGATCGCACATTACCTCTGGCGTGTTATCGCTGGCATTATTAATTTCTTCATAGGCTTTATAGATCTGTTCAACGTCAACTTCAGTCATGTTTGCCTAAGCTCTAAACAATAAACTTCGAAAAAAAAAGGTTGAACGAGTATTGGAAATCACATGAAATTTTGGCGGTTGGTTTAACTATATTAGTACTATCGTACTATCGTATGTAACACTTAAATAAGATGGCGACGATCAGATAGACTTTAAAAAAAGCCAACATGGTAGACAACGAAGGAAGAACCTGCGTTTATGGTTTAAGACACCAAGTAATTCTATTAGAATGTTATTGATTCTATTGTTTAACCTTAGTTACTTAGTTTTCAATTAAATAACAGGCGAGATGTTTGACGACAGTTGTTGCAGATGCAGATCATAATAAATTTTTAGTTGGTTCTCAAAGTTTACGACGTGAAAACGAGGTTCTTTTACGATAATCTAGATATTTACAGTTTTTATAAATTTAGGAATAACTAATTGATTAATTGTTACGATAGTTAGATTCACCTACTTGAGTTTCATGAGGAGGAGTTTGAAATAACCAGTGACGTGTTTCAGCATTCGGAAGAAGTTTTGGACATTGCTGCGTGTCCTATGCAAAGCGATCTTTTCTTCACGTGTTATAATAAATGTATGAAGAAACGTTTTTGATTTAGCTCGTTGGAATCATCACGTTGAGACGGTTCAAATGGTACCAAAATCATCCTTCTAGCATCGATAGATGGAGAGTTATTTTTGTTAATATTCAAAAAATAACTCGCTATCTATCAATGCTAGAAGAGTGCTAGAAGGATGATTTTGGTACCATTTGAACCTAACCCTCATTCTATAATTAAATTAAATTTTATACTTTACTTCTTTTTGAAGTAACTTCAAATTTGATACAGTCTAAAGCCAGCTTATGGAGAATGGGCAAAGCAATACCTGAAGATTCGGAAACAAATCTACAGAGTCACACGCCAGTAGCAACAAGTTTGCCTTTAGAAAATATTTTTGAGGTTGATGGCGATGCGACAATAAAAAAGTATTTAATTATTTATATTCTACTATAAACTTATACTTTAAACTAAACTTAAATTTATTATAGAGTTCTCTGGGATCCAAAAAAAGCCCTTACAGGATTTGTGTCCATTCATGATTACGCCTTGAATGTATGGTCATTTGCTGATCAGTTTGCATCGTCTAAGGTATATATACAAAAATGTTAAAAGCATTATGGTAATGGAGATATAACATTTGTAGTTTTGAATATATATTGTCGTGATAGTTGTTAAATACATTTGAATTCCCTTCAACCTCCGGACCTTTAACAACTGGAGCATGGAATCCACATCAATCAGAAATTGCAGTTGGAAAGGATGTTTCCATATCTGGTTGGGATATCAAATCACAAAGGTGTTTATTTTTTTTTTCATTTAGTCATTACAAATAAAAATTAATTACCGATATATTATCTATTTAGCCAGACATTTAATATAAATGAGGCACATTCAGTAATGGTCCGCGCGCTGGACTTTAATCCAAACAAACCAAATCAAATTGCTTCGGCTGGTGATGATTGTAAAGTAAGGTTTTGGGATCTCAGGAACACTACCGAAAGCATTAAAGAAATATCAGATCATACGCATTGGTATTTAAAATCTGATCATTCTAAACATGGTTTTATTATGATTTGTCTGAATATAAATTCATCAATTATATAGGATATGGGCTGTAGGATATAATAGATTTTATGACCAACTTTTTTTAAGTTCTGGTTCAGATTATCAAGTCAATCTCCAAAGCATCGTCTCTATTTCTTCGGCCACATTTCAATATAATGATTATGATGATAACAAATCCGAAGATGAATATAAAGAAATAATAAGGTACATATTATTATTAATTAATCACTTTTTGACTCGAGTATTTCTCAAGTGTTTTTTTTTTCAATTGAACAGTAAGCCAACAGATGGTTTAGTGAGAACTTATGATCAGCATGAAGATAGTGTATATTCAGTTGCATGGAGTGCTCATGATCCTTGGGTATTTTGCTCTTTATCTCATGACGGAAGAGCAGTGATTAATAGAGTACCTAGAGAAGAAAAATATAAAATCATTCTTTAAATAATTAGTTTAATACTGTGTTTATAATACGAAATATTTATAGACAGATATTTAATAGAATCCTTGGTGAAATTCGGGAATTCCGGGAATGCAACACAAAAGCGGTCAAAAAATTATATAATGCAGGTTATGATCATCATAACATGCAAGTATGTTGTGCACAATAATGCTTTGCTTATCACGTTGATTAATTTATAATGAAATAGACTCTGATTCGAAAAGGGCAATTAAATGCAGTAATTGGTCTAACGAATTTTAAACAATCACAACTGTAATATTTACAAATTTTTTTTTTTTTTTTTTTAATACTATTAATGGTATTTTACCTATCTGAATTCAAAACCACCTTGTACGATGCTAAAATAACACACAATTTTGATCATTTTATATTAACTTGGAAAGCAAGCAAACACCAAGTGGATTGATTGGTTTTATAATTCTCTAAAAAGTAGATTTTATATAAAACGAGGGTGCACAAATTTTCTTTTTTTGGTTATTTTGTACAATATGCAGCAAGATAACCCAACCATGTTCGAAAAGATACCTTGAACTCAAACTGTTCGCACCCTCAAAAATAAATTCTTCCAACCTTTTAGCCTTTGGCAGAAAAACTACCTGTGCTGTTTGCATTGTTGTTGTGTGTCTTTTCGCCAACTCCAGACATTCCTTCAATAGATTTATTTAATTTAATAATTCCACGCTTCCTTCTCTCTCCTAACCGTTTTAATACCTAACCATAACCCATTTGTACTATACTTAATAATAATGTCTGGTACGTGTCTTAATAACGTAATTTTATTTTTTATATTATTTATAAAATGAAACCCGTTAAGCAATTGAAATGTTTTTATCGGGTAGTGTTTTATTTGTATTTATTTCGCATCAACTTTCATCTTTGAAATCTTGGACATCATCTGAGAGGTCATTTATTTAATTATTGGAAATTAAAATCAAATGATATAAATTATTATTGCTTATCTAGGATTTTATATAACTTTAACTGATTGCTAAATATTAGCCGTAAATACTAAATAGTAGTCACTTTTAATCATAATAGTTATGTAAATAAATAGAGGAGTCGAAAAAATGTAATTATAACATAAATTGATATCACATTATATCTTTTTTTTAAAAAAAAATCAACAGATACAACCGGAAGTGGCCCGGCCTCAGGCCTGCTGAAAGTAAGTAATTGTTAAGGCAACATACATATTTATAAAAATATAAAAGTGTAATAGAAAAATCAAGAAACAGACCCAAAAAAAAAAAAAATTATATTTTAACATTCATTTCATAACTTTAATTCGAATTATTTAATTCTAACCCATTTTATATTATATTTTAGGCGGCAATTAATAGCGTTATCCGAAAGAAACTTCAAGGATATGTCGGTTTTGCTAACCTTCCCAACCAGGTACATAGGAAATCTGTGAAGAAAGGATTTCACTTTACGGTGATGATAGTTGGCAAGTATTATATTTAATTATTTTATTAAATTAAAACTTGTCTAATTAAAGTCGCAATTAATTTTTTTTTTTTTAGGCGAATCTGGTCTAGGTAAATCAACCCTCGTCAATACTTTATTCGGTACCACTCTCTATCCAAACAAAGGTGAAGCTGAACCATCAGATGAGACACCAAAGACTGTGGAAATCCAATCTCTCAGTGCAGGTATGTTCCCGATTTTGATTTTGGTAAATTTTCATATATGATGTGATAATCCTTTTATAATAACTATAACAGACATTGAAGAAAATGGCGTTAAACTAAGGCTTACGGTTGTTGATACTCCTGGTTTTGGTGATTTTGTTAACAACGAGGAAAGGTAAAAAAATGTTGTATCTTGTTTGCATAAATATTTTATCCTATCTCACATTTATTTCTGAATTATTAGCTGGAAACCAATTCTCGAAAATATCGAAACTCGCTTTGATGCATATCTTGAGCAAGAAAATCGCGTAAATCGTCGTAAGATGGTTGATAATCGCGTTCATGCTTGCATTTACTTCATTGCTCCTACTGGCCATTCGTATGTTATAATTTAAAAGAAATTGTGGTATACTATTAAAGAATCTGTAAACTCACGTCTTATCTTCATTTTTGAAACAAAGACTTAAGCCCTTAGATGTTGAATTTATGCGACGACTTCATACCAAAGTCAACCTCATTCCTGTAATTGCCAAATCAGATACATTGACCGAAGATGAAATTAAACAATTCAAACAACGTATTCTAGATGATATTGCTTATCACAAAATTCAAATATATCAAGCTCCACAGTATGAATATGATGATGAAGAAACGGTAGCAGAGAACAGGGAAATAATAGTATGTCGACTTGTTTTATTATTCTATATATATCAGACATAATATTATAAATTTATTTATTATGAAAATCTTTCATTATCTAAAAGAGCAAAATTCCATTTGCAATTGTTGGGAGCGACAAAGAAGTTGAACTTCCTGATGGACGTCGCGTTCGTGGTCGTAAATACCCATGGGGTGTAATTGAAGTAGATAATGAAGAGCATAACGATTTTGTCAAACTTCGACAAATGCTTATTCGGTCAGTTTATTATCATTGTTTTCATTATTCTTATTTACATTTTATTTATCTCGGACTATCAATTAATACTTTAAAATACTTAAAATATAGAACTCATATGGAAGAGCTCAAAGAACACACCAACGATGTGCTATACGAGAACTATCGTTCCGAGAAGCTTGAAACTATGGGGGTACAGCAAGACCAAACTGTTTTCAAGGAAGTAAACCCACTCGCCAAGATGGAGGAAGAACGTCAGCTCCATGAAGCCAAATTACAAAAAATGGAGTCTGAAATGAAACAGGTATTCCAACAGAAAGTCCAGGAGAAGGAGGCTAAATTGAAACAATCTGAAGAAGAGTTATACGCTCGCCATAAAGAAATGAAGGATGCTCTGGAGAAACAGCGATTAGAATTAGAAGAAAAGAAAAGACGATTGGAGTCGGGTAGACCAATTACTCCTGAAAAAGCAAAGAAGAAAGGTTTTTCGTTTAACAAAGCTTGAAGTTATTAGAGGTTCTTCAGTTCTCTTTTTTTTTTTTATAGAATCATTTGTTTTAGTGTGGGTTTAATTTTTAATATAAAATGGGTGGTTTGATTCTTTTTGAAGGCAACGAAAAAAAAAAATTTTACTTCACTACACTTTATCCATTACTTCAAAAGAGTTAGTTAAATATTAACGCTGGTAGTTTAGAATATATACTTTTTCTATATTTTATTTGTCATAATTTCGTTATTTATTATACCCTTTATGTAAACGTGGGTCTAATAAATCCCACGAATCTCTTTAAACTTATTATATATAAGTGTCACGGCACTTCATTATTATTTTTCTGGTACTCCCCTCTTATATATTATTCCAATAAATTTTTCTACAAAAAAAATTCTTATATAATTTATTAATAATATTTTTATTCATAATATGGAAAAAAAGAATTTTATTATTTTAATGGTTTATAATATTTAATGTAAGACTTTTAGACTTACAAAACTTTAATAAAAGCAGGATTTTAATATTTAAGCAATTTTAAGCAATTGAGGGTTATGAAATCAAATTATTAAATAAATCTAGTTTTACGATAATTCTGCGCTTTTTGCATCATTCAATTCGTTATCTCAAAGAGTTTTCTAAATCCATCATAAACCTATATTGCTCTCTATTATTAAATTTCTTATTGATATACATCGGGTTGCGTAATTTCTTTGTAAATTCCTTAATACCAGACGCGTCATGGCCTGTGACCCAAGAAATGTAAAGTAACGTGAGCTTCAGAACTTATGACGCGACTGACGCGTCAATTTAACCCCACGCGTTAATTTTTCGATCAACCAATTATTTTCGTTCGAATATTTTTTAAATTTCTTTACAAAGTATTAATAACAGATAATAATTAAGTCTTTTAGGTTTCTTTCGAGGATTTTTCATAAATGTTTGAACAGCTGGTCGACGATTATCGCTGTATGATAAGCAACAATGTACTTGAACTGTTTAAAAAAAGACAGGCAAATCTGAGCTTACAGGAAGACAATAAAGAAAATATCATTCCGAAAGCAAAAATGGGAGATATGAAAGAAAACGCTAATGAGGATCCCGAAACTGATCCGTTGTCTTGGTAAGTTATGCTCGTTGTCTCACTATTGAGTTAGTTTTCTGAAATAATAAGTTATTACATTTTATTATAAAGGGGCTGGCTAAGTGCTAGAATGGCAGAAATTTATGTTTATTGTCCACAAGGACAAAATGAACTACTTTCCTTGAGCGAATTAGAAACAAGAGTATGTACCATTAAATCCAGTCACGTGTTTTTAGATTAATTATATTAATTATATTAATTTATTTTATAGTGGAAAGCTGAAAGTGCCGATGAAAGAATTGGTATAGCTAAAAGTACGTCTGTAATATCTAGGTCGAATATTTGATTTCCTTAAACATTGGGTTAATTTGATTGTTTAATTCCCAGACTTTTGTTTAATGGACTCATTATGTTTTCCTAATAATACTGAAGTAAGAAGCTATGAACTAATAGTTGTAAAATCCAGAAGAAGTCAAAAACTAGGCACAATTTATATCCTTTTTTAGTTATGATTTAACTATGAGGATTTACATTTAACCATATTTAACCTTAATTATTTACATACGTTATATTACTTTGATTGACAGTTATGCTAAGTCTAAAACGGTTGATATGATACTTGATCAAAGATTTATCAAATATGAGCACTTGTTTGAAGAAGTAAGATATTTGCTTCTCAAATGAAATGTTTGTTTAATAAAACTTATCATTATCCCTTTATAGAAAGTTAATCGTCGAGTGAGATTCAATCGTTCCGGATTGTCAAGAAGGAATTCTCGATTAATTCTTCAAACCGAGAATCTAATTATCATACTTACTTCAGCAGACGAAAGTTTTATAGAAAGAGAGTTTCCTAGTTCTATATCAGAATTCTCAATAACCGATTTTTATAAAGGGAGAGTATATAACTTTTGGACAAGGGTAAGTTTCTTTTGTACAAGCAATATGTAATAGATACTAATAAACATATCTTTATTTAGGTTGTGCATATCGAGAATGAGGAACCGGCAAATTATCCGGGATTTTACAAGCAAATACGTATCAATCTTCGCGATATGTCAAGCTCTATGACAGCTACTCTTATTTTGTTCGATTTGCAGATGAATATGATTGATTTATTTAAAATGGTAAGAAGGTTTCGAATTCTATTATACCATTTATTTTGATGTGTTATTTACTTAAATTTAATTATTAGGGAGATTTTTTAGGGATACATATGCCATATATTGAAGAAAGAAGCCCCGGAGACCTCGTCTTCATGTATACAGATTGCACCACGTTGTTTTGTTTGCCATTGAGCGAACTTATTAAGGTTAGTTTTGTAAAGTTAAACAGGATAAATTATTATAATTATTAAAAGTATAATTATGCAGGATCCGAATGTCAAAAAGTTTAAGAATGATCCTAAAAGCAAATTAAACTTTCAAGATAAATCGGTAAATATTTATTCAGACAATTTTGAAATTATTTTTATAAAGCGTTTTGTTAAATATGTTCAAAATTTTTAGTATTTAGTAGACTACAAATTTCATGCGGATCGTTTTTACATTAATAATATGCCATTACAAGGTATAAATGTCACGCTTTTTGGAAGAATAGATAGCATCTCGGAAAATGTGAGTATTCTCTTATTTATAAACTTTTCCTAGAGAGTTATTAATTCAGGATTTATTGTTTAAGTGTAAACAAGAATATAATGGGTGTTCAATCGATATGTACGTGATAAAAATTAGTGACAAAACCGGTAAGAGAACAACAAATTAAATTCGAAATTTAAACTATAAATTTATTAATATATATATATTTTTTACTAGGGGGTACAAATGTAACACTTTGGGGGAGTATTGGACGCACTACATCACAATATTACATAGGACAATATATAGTACTAGAAGGTCTAAGAACCTTTAAAGACATGAATGGTTTAACCGAAGTTGTTGGAGATGTTTCATATGGCACATTGATATATAATGGTAAATAAACATTTTAAAATAATTCACATTTTTTAACGTCAATTCTAAATAAATAATTCAATAAATAGTTAGCTTGGCAACGGGATGGCTAGCAACTAATACCTTAAGAAGGCATTTACATGTCCCATTAAAAAATATTATTAAATTGTCCAACAGTGCATTATATGTGGACCATTTTATCACTCATGTCTCAATCGCCGGATGGAACATAAAGAATGATTCAAAGAGTATAATAATATGGCATTTACAAGATAATACTGGTGAAATTCTTGCCGAAGCAGTTGGCTCTGTTTCAGAAGTAGTATCATAATAGATTCCGTATTTTTATTCATTAATATTATATAACAATCTAAACGAAAATTTATTACTTAGGATATTCTTCGATCAACTGGTCATTATCATCAAAAGCTAACAAAACCTTTAATCCGTTCTATACTTGGAAACTCGCAGAGTACAATTTTAAAGGGCAAATGGTTGTGGTGTTGTCTATCATTTTTGGTAAGTTCTTTATGATAACGTTAGCTTTTATTCGAATTATAATCATTCTTTTAAATACATAATTCAATTTTTTCTCTAAAAAAAAGAAATCCGGAAAATATCAGATTAACGCTATCAAGACTGAATCGTAAACCGAGTCATATTATGTATAGATATCATTTTTTACCACCCAATGAATTAATAAATTTTCTGATTGGCTTCAAATTTCAATTATCCGTTTTCAAATTTTTGCATATTTTCTTTTGTTTACGCAGGAAATAATGTCTACAAAAAAAAATCCTAATTAAAAAATCAACGAAATAGATCTTAAATTTGATTGGTTTATTGTATGAAATTTATTGGATGAAATTTATTGGATGAAATGTGTAAACATCCATCTTATTTCCGCGCGACCTACTGTATATGTAATATTTATTGTAAAGAAAAAAGTTACAACAATGAAAAAACGTGAATATTAAAATATCATATAGCAAATATTTATTTACATACTTAATTGTTTTATAAAGTTACTGTATATTTTATTATAAAGACAAATTAGTAAAATAAATATCATTTCTTTTAAAAAATACAATGCAACAGTTGATCAAAGAATATTTTCAAGCACTTGGTTGCTTTGATTTTGGTACAGCGACTAAGTGTTTTAATAAAATTCCAAAAGTAAATTTTTACTTATTTTTTATTGTGTATTGTACATTCCTTTTCACTAACGTGTGCGTATATAGTCAAACGTTCAACTAGGTTCTATACTTCAAACTCTTACAAAGTGTGAACAATCTTATACTTCGTTAGATTATTTAAAAACAAAGCTCTTCAGAAGAAAAGAAGATGTAAGTTTTTATTATATTTCACATATGCATTACCAATATTCGAATATTATAATCGGGTGAAACAATTACGTTCTTTTAGAACGATTTAAAACAATTGGAATTATTCCTAAATTTTAACTTATAATGAACTATCTAATAGTTCTCGATTTTGTGTATTGCACAAGGATAGAGAATTATTGAATTATTCGAACGGATTAAATGCATTCAATATACCGCGCGTTGTTTCTTTATTATTAATTAAATAGCATCTTTGAGAAATATTTATACGTTCTTTTTATAAATTTCAAAGTACTTATACGCGTTATACACTGAAGCTTTAAATTTGGTAAAAAATCTATATAAGTTATCTTCATCTACAATTACTTTCAATAATGGAAATAATGGAGAACAGTTAGATGTAGACGATCTTTGCAAAACTTTACAGGATTTTATAGAAATTCGACAATCACAAATCGTGATGTAAGTTTAATCATTCAGATCATTCAGAAATTTCTTTCTTGTTCTTTTAAAGTACAATTTGTTTCTTTTAGTTATAGATCCATTCCTACACATTTCTCGAACATTAATGATGAGAAAATTGTTAATGATATCGAACCTGTTAGATCTAAAGCTGAAGAACACAGATTAAATGAAAAATTGGGGCCATTAGGTATAGGAGTCGAGTAAGTAGGTTTGTGTTGTTTTCTATTTAAATTTAAATTTAATATTTTCACTTTTATTTGGCATGTTTATCATTAATTTAGAAGCGAATTGAAGATTTTAAAATATCTTTTTATGGCACGTAAGGCGATTGTGACATATAACTTTAAAAATTCGGCAATTTTTCTTTATACAGCAAAATCAAATCTTTCTTCTTGGAGAGAGGTTTGCTCAAAACAAGTATATCCTGAGGTAAATAAATAATTTTAGCGAAGGATGAATATGTATCATCAATTTATATATGGATTATTTATAGAAGAAATCGAGCAATCGCAGTGAAGAACCTACAAGTGCCTTTTCATTCGCTATATCTAATTTTTTCTCTTCAGAGGTAATGATATCATTTACTGATAGTTTTTTGTTACACAAGACCGTCCACTAATTATATATAAACAGAAGCAGTCAAAGCAGGTTAAACGTGGAAATGATTCACCTAATAACATACAATGGCTTGAAAAGCTTTTATCTAACCTTACTTCCAGGATGACGTTGTATTTTATGCATGTACTTTTAGAAAGGGAGACAATTTTTGGAGGAGATATCAGATCATTATGGAGAAAAGTTGATACTGATTATCATGGAATGTTTGTACACATATTTTGAACGATTTATTTGAAAATTTTTTTTACAATTATTAATTACTTGAAACATATAGGATCCGAAATTATCAGAATAAGTCAGGAGCATTTAGTATTTCATTATTATATGAAGTAAGCAATGACATACCATTTTATCCACAAGGATATGTTGGCAGCGGGGTACAATACAACAAACCAACAGGTATAAATTCGTTCCCGTGGATTTACTGTAGTCCTAAGGTTAGTTATATTTTAATTATTTGTGTATTTTTGAGGTTTATGTATATATTATTAGTACATTAATAGAATATTTATTTATAAATCATACGCTCTTAAGTTCAATTGAAAATAAAATCTTTTCATAACTTTTAATATCTTTTATTAACTTATTATTAGGAAAAACCAGAAAATCATTTGCCAAATATTATATCAATAATGCAAGATAAAGATCCAAATAGAGAAACACCTTTCAGCCGAACTACACCACATTATTTTCATGATATAACGGTTGGAAACTCTTATTATTTTATTCGTATTGATGAATTCGTTAGCTTAGTCATTATATTTGAGAAACAAGAGAAACAACCAAAACAACCGGATAATAATGTATTAGAATTTATTATGGATTTGGCTAGTAAGTTGAGTGGTAAGGAAGTATTAGAAAGTTTAAACAATTAGAAAATTCAAATATCAAGAAATTTTTTTTTTTTGTATGTTATTAATTAACACATTAGATAATGTTTATTTTAGTATATTTTGTAGTATTATTAGCATTATTATTATTATTATTTTCTTTATTAACAATAAATATTTTGAGAATACATTAATGTTCATTGTCTTAAATACAGTAAACTGTAATAATAAGAAAATTGCTAAATCTTCAGTAGTAATCACCACCGTACCGCATTAGGGCGAAATTTCAGGCAGAACTAACTTTACATCATTTTTAACTCTGCTCAAAGTATGAATAACTATTTCAAAAACATGCTAACATGGTGAATTTTATTTTGTATTTTTTATCTTAGAAAAATTTTCATGGTTGAATAAAAAGCAAAGGAATATTTACTATCTTAAATACTTAAACACTTGTAATTAAAAAATTACAAAAATGTTTATTAAAATTATAAATTATTTGTTACTAGCCGTTAACCCGTTGCTTTGCAACGGTAAACATACATATAAAAAAAGCGTGACCTGCATGTAACAATTAATTCTGGCCGGAATTATGTGATCGGCGCAGAAATTTCCTTTTATGGAGTATTTGTGAAACCAAAATTCCCTATTTTTGTGGGAAGCAAAATTTCCTTTTTTGGATGTTGGTGNAAAATTTCATAATTTTATATGTTATTTTGCAATGAAAAAGAATTTTTTTCCAAGATAGTTCAAATTATATATTGTGCAGCAATTATTATCATTTACTAGTGTTCACCTGTTGTCTACGACAACAGTTAATATGTAATTCTGGCCAGAATTAAAAGATCTGCAAAGAATTTCCTTTTTTGGAAATTTGAGCAACACAATTTTTTTAATTTCTCTGAAAAGTAACAGAAGACAAAATTTCCTTTTTTGGAAATTTGCGTAACCGACAATTTCCTTTTATGGATTCCTGTGTAACCGACGATTTCAGTTTTTCGCCAGAAATAAAATTTCCTTTTTTGGTCTTGTGTAACATTGGCGACGAATAGGAGTAGGGTTACACAATTCAAATGACTTATTTATATGGTTAATCTAAACATAACGCCCACGTGATTGCAGTGTTTTTTAATATATAGATAGAGATATAGATATAGATTTTAGAAATTAAAGATCACCGGTGATACTCCGGTGATTGTCACCGATAATATATTTTTTGAATTTTCAAAATTTTTGACCTGAATTTATTCCTCACCCCGGGTGAGACTAATTATTCCTATCTTCCCCCAAGATTTTTCACCCCACATGACCTGCATAAAATGTCACCCTGTGTCACACCCACCGTTTTCATTTTTTCATAAGTATTCTGGGGACTTGAAAATTTTTAGTGGTGAAAAAACTTTTTTTCACGCCCCCTTAAACATCACCGGTCACGTGAAAGTGGAATTTTACTTAGAAATCTTGGGGTGATACTGGGGTAAATAATTATTCCTCATCCTGTTACATGATCATATATAATTATTATAGTATACAAATAAAATTCTTTTCTACCCACTTACATGAAGAAATAAAATAGGACTATTCTGATAATATGCAGTAGCTAGAATTTCTCAATTATAATACAATACATATTGATTATAGGAATTCTTATAATTAAACCTAAAAACTTCTTTTCATCAGGATCATCTTATAAGTTCTCCAAGCCTGTTGTGCACTATTATACAATTCTTTCTCTAAATTCATAGTCTGTATTATGCTTATGATAATCACGCTGTAGATATACAGAATAATTTATAAAAATCTCATCAATACTTTCTCCTTTTTTCATATTCTTTTGTATAGATGTACTGCGCCTTTTTAGCTGTAATGCATTTTTTCAGATGATCATTTGCGCACTCTATGATATTTTCACAATCAATACTAAGAAGTCACATAAATGTAAATTGAACGTCTTCCAGCTTTAAATTCCCCATCTTTATATGATCTTTCAGTCATATGGATAAATCTACTATTCTTTGAAAAGTTTCTTAAATGGATAATGAACATAAAAAATACCACATTTCTGATGTTTCACTACTATACCTATATTGTAGTTTAGCGCCTACACTACTACAGGATTTAAACCAGAATAACAGTTAGTTTTAACCGTTTTTATAATTGTAAATAGTCTATAGTGTTTTAATGATTTATAGTGTTTTTAGTGAATTATATCTATTCTTTATCAACCTATACCAAATTTATATGGATTTAATAGTTAAGAGATTCATAATGTTTTTGACAGTTTTATTGATTTGTAGCCCGCTTAGTAAGATTACACTATAAATTCGAAGTTATACCAGATTTAGCCAAAAGCGCTGTGCATATAGGACACCCAGCTATGCTAATTTTGTATACGTGTAAATTGATTTTTCATGACTCAAATATAACAGTATAATGCTATAACTTAGCACATTTAAAATCTTTACAATGCATTATTATAAAGCATTATAAACATTCATTTTATCATTAGGGGTGTGCCAGAAATTAGCAGGATCCCGAACAATACTAATATAGGTAGGAGCTGAAGATGCGTCATCATCTTAGTATCTCTCAATATGTTAGAATTTGGAAATGCGTACAATCATCAAAAAATTTTGATAAGGTTAGAATTTGATTTTATGTAATTTTGATTTGATTTTAGGATGGTATGATGTTGGATTTGCTTATTTTTGGTATATTTTTGGAAATAAGTAATAATAATTAATTTTATTTAACGATCATCTTAAAATAAATTTTTTTTTTTTTTTCAAAAAAAATCTTTTCTGTATTGCATAAATAATGTTTCATTGGAAATATGGTAAAGAGTGATTGGCTAATATAAATACATTACTCATATTATTAATGCAAAAAAAGTAGTATGTATATGTGGGAAAGGAATCAAATTAAACCACAGGTATGAAGAAGATTATTTAAATAGATATGTAGCATGTTCAGGATGTAAAGCAGACGAAGACAGAGAACAATTTGATACAACTAATAAAAGAGCCAATTAAAATTTTAAAAACTGACTTGAAGTTAGAGGATTAAAATGCGTATTTTGTAAAAATTTCAGGGGTTAGGAGCTATAAATGCGTACTGATTATAGTCAAAAGTGCTGCATACAGCTAATAGTAAATTTTTTTTTCTGGACCTTACCTATATCAGTATTGTTCGGGGTCCTAAATCAGCTGATTTCTCTCAATTAGTAGCCTTAACTCCCACCCCTACCTGATTGAAATCTGATGTAGAGCTCTGAATGGGTCAGGTCAGGTCAGGTTAATTGATAAACCTGACCTGAAATTTTTTTTCAGGTCAGGTCAGATCAGGTTATATCAGGTTGTCTGTTTGACCTGACCTGATTTGAAACCTGAAAAATTTCAGGACTATTTTTATTAAAGTATTGAAAAAAACGGTACAAAACTTTTTTTTTTTAATATAATATTATGAAAAAAAACATTTTTGCAACGTTTTTTATTAAAATATTGAAAAAAAATATTGCAACCCATTTTTTTTAATATAACATTATGAAAAAATATTTTCGCAACATTTTTTCTTGAAATATTGCGATTCAACATTTTTATATTAAAATCATATAAAAAAGTGAATCCCAATACTGCAATTCATTTTTTTTATATAGAATTAATATAAAAAAGTGAATCGCAATATCGCAACTCACTTTTATTATATAAAATCAATATAAAAAAGTGAATCGCAATACCGCAACTCACTTTTTTTATATAGAATCTATATAAAAAAGTGAATTGCAATACTGCAACTAGGGATGGGGACGGTTCGTTCAGTTCCATTTCGGTTCCCCGTCGGTTCCACATCGGTTCCCATTAAGAAAAATATGAGCTACATGTGTCAAATTAAAGACACAAGTCGAACATATATTGATTATGAATTAAAAAAATTTTGATTGGTTAACAATCAATAGTTGGTTCATGATCATCATAATTTTGATGTTGATCATATTTTAAACCGGTTTTTAGAACCGGTTCGGAACCGGTTCAGTTCAATTTTTTAAAAGCTATTAAAAATTGTTTTGACTTATAAATTTTCTTTTTTTTTATTTATTGTAAAAATATTAGTGTTTCTCTATTCCCAATAAGATTTTTGGCTCATATAAGTTCGAAACTCACGAGATTTTGATCGGTTCCAAAAACTGCTCAAAATTACGTAATCGAACCGACCCCATCCCTAACTGCAACTCACTTTTATTATATAAAATCAATATAAAAAAGTGAATCGCAATACTGCAACTCACTTTTATTATATAGCAGAATCAATAGTTTCAGGTCAACAGGTCAATCAGGTCAGGTCAATCTTCATATCTGACCTGAATTTTTTTTAAAAATCTCATACCTGACCTGAATTTCAGGTCAGGTCAGGTCAGGTTACCTGAATTTGGCTGACCTGTTCAGAGCTCTAAATTTATCGAAAACAATTTTCCTAATGAATGCTTTTTATGGTCATAGTCCACAAATTAGACTAATTGTTTTTTTAACAGACGATTCAGCTGCAGAACATAATGCATTAGAGCTTTGTTGGCCAAATGGTAATTTGTTTATTATACTTAATTTATTACAAAATATAAAATTAAATTAATAAATTACTAATTATTAATTAATTTAAAATTTATTATAGAAATACGTCTTTTATATATATTCCATTTCTTGTAAGCATTCTGGAGGTGACTTCATAATGCAAAACATAGTATTAATAAAGAAGATCATGCACCTATTATGGAGAAAATGAAGAAAATCTTATATGTGTCATCAGATTCAGAAATGAATGCACATTGTGAAGAATTTGAACAAACTACAAAAACACTTTGAACTTTTATGGGAATGTTAACAATTTTGGGCTTTATTCTTTCATATAGGATTACCAATGCATAGTAATCATACTAATAATTATATTGAATGAAGTTTTGGTATAATAAAGGATATTATTTTTGTAAGGACACAAGCCTACAATCCTATACAAGTATTTCAGTTTATTATCATAAATATGAAAAGATTCTATGAAAGGCGATTATTCCGAGTTGCACATAAGTATCCAGGAACTTTATGCATTGCAAAATGGTTCTTATATCCTGGATGGGAGAAAGTAGATGCAAACTCCATTCAAAAAACTAATGTAGCAAATGAATTTTTAGTACCAAATACAAAGAATAATGACTTTATTTATGTTATAAATAATGAAATTGGAGTATATACCTGTCCTATTAGAATGTCTGGCGCTCCTTGTAAACATCAAGGGGCAGTTTCAACAAAGTTTCACATTTCAATATTTAATTTTATTTCATCTTTAACACCTGATGATCATATGATTTATGCTTATATAGCACTTGGTAAATATAAATATTCATTAAATTTTTTAATTATATAAAGTTAAATAGTATTATCTTTTGAAAAATCTTTAGATTATGTTGCTGAAAATAAATCCTTTTATATATCATTACATGCACAAACTGCTTTACAGAATCAAGAAATTGTATAATCTGAAATTAGGAATATCAAATAAAACTTTGATTACTGAATAGAGATAAGGTTTTTTTGCTTTGTCAACCAGTTGTGAAATTTATATACTGTAATTTGTAAATTACAATTCTTATTTTTAGAGGAGCTGAAAAACTAAGTAAACTCAGTGAAGTAAACAAAGAACTTGGAAAAACTGATCTTTTTGAGTTTACTTTATTTTTAGAAGTTGTTAGATCAGATTATCAAAATTCTGGTCAAATGTTATGAACTGCATTAAATAAGTTTAAAAGTCGGTATAATGCAGCAAAATCAAAATCTATTCCCCAATTATCTTCCTATCTTTATAATATTAATTGTAATATAGATATAATGATTGCTATTAAGAGTGGTGCATATATTTGAGTTCAAGTAGAATCAATCAAATGATGTAAAATAGAAGGAAGTAGTGCCAAGAGGAAATTACCTAGTTCTAAAATATGAAGAAAAAGAAAATTTGGACCCTCAAGTTATTCCTGTCCAAAAAAAGAAGAAATTGGGCAAAAAAGAACATAATTTGACCAAAAATGTGTTGAACAATAGACCAAATTAAAGATATTTTTTTTAATAGCATTATAATGCTTTATATATTGCAAAGAAATAATTTGTAACCATAAGATATTATTTCTTTATTTATACTGCAAGTTGTAGTAAAGAACTTTTCTTATATTTTTATTTTACATTAAAAATTTTGTTTCTACTTATAATAAAAACTATTTTTTGAGAATAAAAAAAAACCAGTAAAAAGACAAAAAAAAGTACTATTTTTTCTTAAAAATCCAAAGAAAAATAACCATTAAAAATGTAATTATTAAAAATAAACTATTTTATTAAAAAAGGCAACAAAAAATAAAGTACTGACACAACAGTCAGTTTAATTGTCAATTCCAATTGATTGCTAAGTACTGTATTCGGCGTAACCTGTTACAGATTTTACATGTGGCTGGTCCAAAATGTATGACAGATTACGCCAAATATATTAGCTTTAGAGTAAGGAGTGATGGTTAGCAGTTTTTAGCGTCACATGATCACGTATAAGCCTGAGGTTCAAAAACACTATTTATCTAAAGGACTTGGTTTTTTTAGTCCAAAACTTATTTGTCACCTGTTATTTGTCACCAATTTTAGCGTAATCTGTTACACATTTCAGACATACTTAAATATGCTTAGATGTGCTTAAATGTGCACCAAACATATTATTGTATTTATTTATATTATTAATAAAGTATTATTTGGGCGCTTTGCAGTAAAAAGGGACGAAACTACTAAAAAAATTCAAATTTTCTTTTATATGCCAAAAATATTCTAAATGCTATAATTTGTTCAGATTTTATATTAACTCATTTTTTATTTTTTTTAGTAGTTTCATCCCTTTCTACTGCAAAGCGCCCATTTTGTTAAAACTTATTTATCACAGAATTAGTTTTTACAATGGCTAAATTATTTTCAGATGTGTCTCCTCAGATTACGAGATGATCAGCTAATCAGATTTTGCCTTCTCACAATTATCTATCTCAAAATTAGTAATGTGTACGATCACAATGATGTCATAGATGTCATATAAATATTTACTGTATTACATTATGTTACATCAAAGAATATGTTTCATATCTGCTTAATAATATAAATACTAAAAAAGAAGTAAGTTCTTTGTCTTTTTTTTTTTAACCTGTAAAGTATTACTATAGCTATGGAAGTACTTAACAAAACTTTTAAAGACAGACGAAAATTTGAAAATTTTATACAAGGAATTTCTGGTACCCTACAGGTATTATATACTATATATATATATATATATATGTATGTAGTTTAAATATTATGCCATATTTTAAGCAAGTGTCACATTAATATTTGTATGATATTCTAGAGATCACAAACAAAGGATTCAAATATATCAGAACATGAGACCGAAATATCTGATAATGAACATAGACGGAGCAGAGATCCCAGTTATCATTATATAGGATACTCTTGCCCTTTTTTATACAATCAATATCGGCAAACTTCCAAAGTCTCTAATTTCTTTCGATCAGCAGAAGGAATGGCTGTTTCGGCATTTAGATCAATTGGCAAAGTGGATATTAATTTTAGAGTCAAGACTCGAGAACCCGCCAACAGTAATAAGTGTGACGTGGATATCAGAGCGCAAGAAAAAACACAAAATCAAAATGATCTCGTTCAGAGCATCAACAATAGGAAACAGGGATGTCAGAAAACAAATAGTAAATTACCAACAGCAAATCGATTTATTGAATCATCATCTCTTTCCTTGGGATGTGAATGGGAATTTGGAAATGAATCAAGAGTTTTGGCAGTTCAGGAATTGTGTCGAAATGAATACATTATTTCATCTAGCATCACAGTTACCCAGGCTACTGATCAGAACTCATGCAATGGAAACAGTGATACAAAAAATGAAAGTACTTTGCTCGAATTGCAAAATGATCATGAAACGCAGCACACCCAGGATCTTCTTGAACTATTGAAGAATAAAGAACCATATCACGATGAGATAGACAAAAAAGCCTTGAATGATATTGAGATCGCACTCTTCGCCGGAATGTATGGCATTACTGATTTCTGCCTAGTGCTTGCACGTAATGATTCAGTTTTTTGGCTAAAAGATCATAATGGTGTTATTTATTTTTGGTCTCGCATAGATGATAGCATGATACGTGGAGGAGATAATCTGGAAGAAGCTTTGACAAATTATCTTTTTCACCACGAAAATCTTTATTATGTCGATGAGGTTACTCGCAAATTGGTACCAATAAATGCATATGATAAAAAAGCTGAAGAATTTGCAAAATCACCAGAATCTTATGTTTATATTGATGCTAAATATTCAACAAAGCAAAAATGGGAAAGTGGCAGAAAAAAGAAGCAAAAAAATAAAAAAAATAAAAAAAAGTATTGATTTTAACATTTATTCTACAATTAAATCCAATATATTCATATATCATTCGTAGAGTAGATTGTATTGCATGATTTTCTTTATTAGTAATTTGTATAAAAGTAATGTACAAAAAGTATTTGAAAAATAATAAAAACGAATGCGAATTTAATTGCAAATTTATTAGAATTATAAATGAATATAGTAATACATATTGTATAATACAGTATATATTTTTAGCAGATACCTTTGCAATTAAAAAAGAATGAGTAAAATATATAATGCTATCATTATGAGATTTTCACACCAATACTCTTTTCTACACTAGATTTCTGAAATAAACTATTCCACCCATATTTACAGAATTTTAGTTTATCTATATTGACACATACTATGTAAAATAATATTTCCCTCTAAGATTAAGAAATTTTGAAACTAAAGCATAAATCGGGAATTAGCAACTGAAATAAAAAATTAAGTAATGCAATATTACTAATTCACTCTTACCGATATGAATAATTTTTACATCATTTCACTCTGCCTCATATTTAAGAAATTTGTTGTTTAATTTTTTATCACATATAGTACGATATTGCGCAGAATTCGGCAAGTGAATAGATGCAACTATTCCAGTCAGTGTTGGTCACTGGATTAAGTCCAGTTTAGAAAAATTTAATTGGACTGGACTAGTCCAATACATTAAGTCCAGTTCCAGTCCAGTTACATATAATTTTTAGTTGGTTAATTGGACTGGTCCATTTAAAAAATTGGACCATAACACTAAGTCTAGTGGTAAAGTTTTAAACGGGTCAGTTTGCTTGGTGCAGTTTTTTTTCTGGTTCAGATAAAAACTGAAACTGAATGAAAACTGAACCGGAACTGTCCAGTTCAGTTCGGTTTTATCTGATTTTAAGAAAAAATGTGAAAATCGAAATAACTCGGCAACCAGTGATCGTATAAAGACGAGCAATAGCTCATTAGAATCGTCTCATCGAGACGCGTCGAATGGTAGTAAGATCATCTCTCTAGCCTTGATATATCACGAGATAATCAACGCTAAACATTTTTTATGAAACTAGCAATAGAATCATATCTATTGATCCTAGAGAAATGATCTTGGCATCATTCGATAGGCCTTAATGAGACGAATCTAATGAGCCTTTTTTTATTTTTTATTATTACTACATAACGAGTTATCTTAATTTTCGCATTTTTTTAAATTTTTAAACGTTAAAAAATAAAAATTCTGATCTAAGATATAACCTATTTTCTACTGATTGTATTAGAACGATCTTTAGCTCATTAGAACCGTCTCAGAGAGACGAGTTGAATGATGGTAAGATCATGTCTCTAGCATCAATAGATACCTTATTAATGCTAATTTTCTAAAATTGCTTAGTATGATTTATCTCATGATATACAAATGCTAGAGACATGATCTTACCGTCATTCAACTCGTCTCATTGAGGCGGTTCTAATGAGCTAAAGATCGATCTAATACAATCAGTAGAAGATGGGTTATATCTTAGATCAGAATTTTTATTTTTTGACATTTAAAAATTTAAAAAATGCGAAAATTAAGATAACTTGTTATGTAGTGATCATAAAAAAATGAAAAAAGGCTCATTAGATTCATCTCATTAAGACCTATCGAATGATGCCAAGATCATTCTCTAGGATCAATAGATACGATTCTATTGCTAGTTTCATAAAAAATGTTTAGCGTTAATTATCTCGTGATATATCAAGGCTAGAGAGATGATCTTACTACCATTCGACGCGTCTCGATTATACATGAAACTGAAATTGGTTAATTTTGACCTCCAAAATGGTCGAAATGGTTGAAATGATTTCGACTTGAGCCCCTCCAAAAGTCGAAATGGTCAAAATTACGTCATAGTTATATGATTTTATAGTAAACAATAATATTAAAATTCAAAGTTAACGAACTCCACATCCAGTGATTTGATTTTTATGATCTTTACACGGTTGATTTCAGCTCATCGAGAGGATTCCAATGATATGTATTTCATATTTGTAGCATCAATATTGACGGAGTTATTCACATTTAAAATTTTTATATTAAATTATAATTATAAAAATCACATGACTAAGATGTAATTTTGACCATTTCAACTTTAATTTTGACTTTTGACCTTCCCAAGTTGAAATATTTCTACTTTTAGGCTTTAATTTCAACTTCATATATAGTTTTGGTGAAATGATTTTAATGAAATATTGCTCGTCTTTATATGATTACTATGGTGTGCGTCACTTATAAACCACAAAGTCTGAAATTTTAAATGTAGATTTTCACGTGATATGATACTATTTGCACGTGACTTCGGTGACAAAAAAAATTGCGCGCGTGCATTTTTTTAATTTTATTCAAATTTATTTAACTTGTCTAATACATATTCAGGAATACAGCGGTGGGATTTATATTTTTTGGCTGCATATTCTGCCAACTTACCTGTAATTCCATTTCTATATAAATCCATATAACGCCATGTTTTCCTTGCAAATTTTCTTATCATTTTTGTATCAACAGATTCTAAAGCTGCAGGAACAACACGTTGCAAGCTTGACCATGAATAATCACAATTCTCACGAGCATATCTTTTTGCTGCCCCCAATATCTTTCAATAAAGTTAAGTTCACAATGGAACTTTGGATAAAAAATGCATTTATGCCCAGCTTCTAATATTGCTTCCTCTAATGCACTTTTTTGTTCCATAAAATCAGGTTGTAATGAAATAATTCGGCGGGCACAACAATCAATTCGGGTTACATCATCCACTTTATCTTTACACAACTGACAATCAGCATTTAGACCATTTCTCCATAAGCCTCGTTCAATTAAAACTTGTTTCATTCCCTTGGGCTTTCCATTTTCATTTACCATCGATTGGTGCTGATTGTTTAATCCAAAAACTGTATCCCTCATTTTTGGTTACTTGCTACCGGGTTTTAAGTTCATTTTATTTGCTACAAGAGCATCAGGGTTAAATGCTGCATGGTTTGAGCTATTATCAAATGCAAATAATGCAATACAATTGGGAAAAAGGGTTTCAAAAATGGGAATTACTTTTGTTTTTATTTGATTAATTAGGTGTTCACTTGTCCAATACCCTTCACGATCTTTGCCTGGTTGGAGATACACGCGTACTTCTTCAGGTATAAAAGGATTTTCTTGATGCTGTTGTATATTTAATTTAAGTCGTCCACATTCCTCTAACAAAAATTCACTAACCATTATCGAACGTCCATTTCCTTTTTTGCGTAATGGCAATTCTCCCGATTTCGCCCATACACCCCGTTTTCCATCATTAGAGTAAAAGATACATTCATCATGCGTTACAAGAATTACCTCTTTATCATCAGATTCAAGTATTGGCGGTATTCGTTCCATAGTTTCACCTTCATATTTCGCCATATACTTCTCATAACTATAGATTTCGTCTAAAAAGGATTTTCGATATTCAACAACATCAGGACGTTCATGACCATCATAATAAATACCTTAATATTTAAATAATAAGGTTATTTTTTTGTATAACAATGTGTTAATTAATCTTCTTACCTTACTTTTGTGATTGAAAAGTATAACTAAGAACATTTAACCATCGTGCCGCAGTTTTCATGGTGATGGGTTTTTTTTTTGTTATTCCAGAATTTGCAAGCAATTTTTGCTCAACGAATTCCTTAAACTTCAATAGAGTAGTTGTTCCACCTTGAGATCGAATTTATATATGGCATTCTTCTGCTATATCTTCATCATCTATCAATCGTATTGTTTTTTGATGCCTTCCTTGACGGCTTACTGGAAGACGATTATGCTGAAGCCAAAAATTTGCCCAGTATTGAATTGATCTTGCTCTATATGGTGCACAATCAATAAAAATCAACTGTGCGGCTTCTTTGCTGGTTTTCATCTTTCCTTTTCCATTTTCACCTAATCTTTTCAAATACTCATATATTGCACGTTTCCTGTTATATTCAGCAGCTGTTAAAATCTTCTGCTTTTCTTTAAGATCAGTCCATATCGGCGGATTTGTTCACCCTCTAATTAACATGTTTATTTTAAGGTACTTTTGTTACACAAATTATTACATATGGCACAGTAGGACCTGGGACGAACATTAAAAAAATTTTATTTGGTTTTATTAATACAATAATTTGATAAATTTGATAAATAGTTCTTTTAAGCCAAAATACAATAAATATTATTCTTAGCAATACTGATAATATCTGTTGTGGAATCTCACTTTATACAATAGCTTCTAAATCTTTTTTGTGTAAAATCAATAATACATATGCTTACAATTTGTTTGAATATAAAAGTTCTTATTTTGTCTACAGCAAGATAAATAAGAATTAATAATATGTTTTGAAAAATGCAAAAAATGGACAATTTTATGAAAGTTATTATAAAAAAAAAAATTTTTTAAATATTAAATGAGTCTTAGAATACTTTTATAAATATTCATAGCTATTGTGTCTATATAAATTTTTATTTTACTTTTTGTTTTATTAAAACATACTTACTTTCTAATAATACACATTAAAAATACTATGCAGGTGAGAAATGGGTTTTTTGTTAAAGAAATGGGTTTTTTTGTGTCTATTTTACATTAAATAATTTAAGTTTAGCAAATGTAGATTTTCACTCGACTTATTATTTAGTCAAGTGATATTCAATCAGATGATTTCATGACATTACAAACCGGTTTTGGGTGACAGATATTATGAAAATCATTCAAAATTTAGCATTATGCAAAAGTGAACAAATCCGCCGATATGCTTTAAATTTTCGATTCTTTCACCCACATCAAGTTGATTTCGTTCTTCCTCATCCATATCATCAAGAACGTCTTCAAAATCATCCGGTATTGGTTTATTATTCATGAAAGTTGATATTTTTATGGTTCCTTTTGCAGCTTTTGTAAAGGAGCCATTTGGTCTATATTTATCAAAATATGTTGATTTTTTTATTTTCCCAGTAAGATATGGTCCGCGTTTTGTTTTTTCCAAGTGGGTGTTATCTGACCAGGTTAACTCAAGAGGTTTATCTTCAAAAGCTTCTTTTTCGTTTAATAAACTAAACTCTTCATCCCATCCACTGTCATTTTTATCACCCCATTCATCACCTAATTCATCACATCCATCAGATAGCCTTGGTCGTTTTGTAAACTTCCCGTTATTGTCTCGTATCTGCTCTTTTCCTCTAGTTTTTCTCTTAGATGGACGAGTCATAATTGTTGTGTGGGGAAATTAATCAAAAAAACGCCATTTTCATATGAAATTCACGTAACATTTATCCTGATCACCAGTCCAAAATTTTCCATTTTTCCATATAGATCATATGATTTATTCTCGAACTTTCAGGCTTAATAAAATTAAATTTTTATATTAATTCTTAAAAAGTAAACTGATAAAAATGTTCAGCATATGCTATTCTATTAATTTATCGGTTTAAATTTGTATTTTACTGCTTAATTCTTAACGTATAAAATTTTAAAGTCACATGATATTTTTGTGGTTTATAGGTGACGCACACCATAATTGCCGAATTATTTTGATTTTTGCATTTTTTCTTAAAATAAAATAGAACTGAACCGAACTGAATGATTCCGATTCCAAAACCAAACTGAGAACCAAACCGAATTTTTGGTCAGTTTCAGATCAGTTTCCAGTTCAAACTGGAACTGTTTGGAGCTCTAATGATTTGTTGATTAGTGACGATGATAATAGCGAAAATGAAAGTAATAATGTGACTTTAAATGACTCTTCTAAACTTTATACTGAAGAATAAGAATAAGGATGAAATATATTTGTTAAAGAGTGGATTGAAGCTATTAAATGTGAAAATACATTTGATCATTTTGAAGATAAAATACTTTTAGATAGTGAAATAAATAATAACTTTAATTTTGGAGAAAGAACAATTCATCCTGCAGACGATCTGACAGCAAAATGGTTATTACAATCTTTATTCATTTCTAATTTAGGATTTTCTGCTTATTTACAGGAAAATCAGATTTATTCAGCACTTTAAAAATTAATTCATATGTTTTAATTTTTATAGTATTTGTTGTAAAAATTTATGATATATTAAATAATAAATAAATTTTGAAATTTTATAACGGTAAAAATTAAATCACATTATTAAATCACGTGATTATATATCATTATAACCAAATTCTTTAAAGCTAAAATGACTATATGATTAATTACTTAGTTACTAAGTCATTTAGGTCACATCCGGTCATGTACCAACACTGATGAAGATATATCTAGGGATGTGGGGGTCCAACTAGTTGGTTATACAATATAATATACAATAAGTCTAATAAATCAAAACTGTCCTTCATATAAATTCATATACGTTATTAATAAATTACAATGATCAGTGAACAAAATACCCTGCAATTAAAAAAACCAGCCACCCAATTATGTCATCCTTGAAACATGATCATCTTTACATCTGTTTTGTCACGTCCAAGTACTTTAAATAATGTTTGGACCTTTTCTGAGAAGAAAAAAACAACATTAGCGGTTTTATTTTAGTATTTATGATGAATAAATCAATATTTAGAAGTCTAAAACAAGTAAACCAAGTTTATTTTTTACAAGAAAACGTTATTTATATAGACTTTTAATTTATAATAACTTTTAAACCTTTTTTTTTTAAAAAAAAACTGAAAAAAATATTGTCTATAGTAAATGTCTACAATAAATAGTTGTATGCAGTTTTCACTAATAAAAGAGAATGTATTTAATAAAATTTTAATATAAAAGTGATATTTATTGTTAAAAAAATATTTTTCATTGTTTTTTAAAAAAATTTTTTTAATACATATTTCGAAATAATAGTTTTTCTAATAAGTTATATTAAACTTTGACCTGAGAAACCCAATAACGCTCTAATAGCCATAAAAATTTGCCAATATATAACTCTTACCAACACTAATCTACTCTCAAACATCAGCTTTTAGAAACATTGTATGTCAAAAGTTTTAGGCTTGGAATGTTGTCTTGGATATATTAAAATAATAAAATTTAGGGGTAATGGTAGTGGGACAGTTTGTTAATACGAAATTATATTGTGTAACCAATCAGTTGGACCCCCACACCCCTAGGATATATAACCCAACAGCCCAGAAAAATTCTTTGATCACGTGATCTGTTTTATTTATCACATTGTCACATCCTGTCCGAGTTTCACTGTTTATATTTATCTGAGGGACTTAGATTTTTTCAATTACTAATAATTATAACACATATGAATGTTATTAAAAATCTTTGAAATATTAATTTATTGCGTATTTATTTAGATTATTTTTTTTTCCTCTATCAAGTAGATGAAATTCTATTTGTCATATTTTATTCATCACATCCTAAATTTTTCAATCACGTGTCAGTACCGAGTTCGAAAAATTTTCTGGATGCCGTTGGGATAGTTTGATGAAGATACATCACAGCAAAAGTTTTTTCAAATAAATCTCTTAAACATGATACTCTTTTTATTGGTAACTTTCAAAATGAAAACTTTTTTTGTTACATCATTTTATTCATTAGCTATTAAAATTATTGTAACCATTTACAACTATTTCATAATTACTTTTTATAAATCCATATAGAAATCCCAGAGCCACAATAATGCTATCTGAAAAAATCTGTTAACATTTCTTTAACTGATAAATCCTCTTCTTTAACTTTGCTAATTCTAAGGTTGCTTGCCGAAACCTAGGGGTTTAGGTAAGATGGCGTTTTGCCGAAAAGCGAAATTCTGCCAAAACTATATTAAAGTTATATTAAAAAACTGGCGAAACTTTGGAGAAAGGCGAAACTGCCGAAACTTATTATAAATGCTGAAACTGCTGAAACTCTGCCGAAACTATAATAAATCTATAGTAAAATTTGATGAAACTAATCGTAGGATTTTGAAGAGGTTTAAACAAGCAACCTTAGCTAATTCACATAGTTAATATATTCCAACCTTTCTCTACTATTTTTATAAAGCTCTGAACCGTTCAGAGCTTTATATTTTTATCCTATTCTGATTCCAAAGATTCTTATTTAAAATGGATTAAATATTCAATTACCTAAGAATTATTACAGTATAATTATTTCCAGGGTTTTATGAGATGTTTAACAATGCTTCTGACTAATTATTTTTGCAAATAACTTTTCGATCTTAAGGGTGGGTTATTTGTTGATCTGTAAGTATAGTTGCATCTAGGGATTGGAATCGATTCCCATTATTACAATCGATTCTAAAATCGATTAATTGTGATTAATCATTTAACAAATACTGATTTTTTTTTATACTATTTATAATAGGTGTGTTTAAACACATATCACGTGATTACAAAATTACAGTGATCGACGAACAAATTTCCTTTTTTGGAAATTTGTACAACCTTGTGCGATAGCAACTTGAATTTTATTGGGAGATAAAATTTCCTTTTTAGGAAGTTTGTGTTCCGTCACGTGATTCACGGGCGGAATTATGAATTTGGCCAAAATTAACTATTATGAACAAATAATAATTTACGGTCAAATTAACGAAACTGCGCCACAACAAGTAGATTCGATTTTTATTCGAGATTCGATTTAAAATCGATTCTTATCGATTTTCGATAGTTTCGATTTTAATCGAATCTTTTCCGATCCCTAGTTGCATCTAGGTAGGTTGGATATATTATAGGAGTAATCTAAGGAGTGTTGTGATTTATAATTTAGGTTTTATTTATATCGGCGTTTACAAGAGACAAATATTACAAAATTGGTAAAAATATATATACTATCCCAATAAAATTTAGAAAGGTAAACGAAACTTGATTAACAATCGAAGTCACGTGATATTGTGGCGTCAGAGTTGTTTAAATTACGGGAATGAACATTTACATGTTATAAGTAAAAAATGTTATGAAAAACAGGATTTAAAGAAAGGATGATAATAATAATAGTAGTGTAATAATAGATGACGATAGTAGTGAAGAATTAGAAGTGGTGGATGAAACTGATGAAACTAATGATAATAACTTTGGGGATTTATATATATATATATATATATTGGAAAATAAGATCCGAATTAATCTTTTCCAAGAAAAGAAAGAAATTATTAGAGTAAAAACAAAATATGACTACGAGGACTTTTGGAAAAAATGCAAAAACTTGAAAAGAGGCTTACGAAAATAATGATGAGAAAAGTAATGAAAATAAAAAAGGGAATATTGGAATAATAAAAATAAGTGGAAAATTTGGCAAACAATAAACTGTAGAGGATAAATTGATAATCTTAAAAAAGATTCACAAGATAATCAGTATTGAAATTAAAAAAGGAAAGGAGATTGTGAATCATTAGCTATAAAAGAGGTAGGATGAATTAACAGAGGGAGTAAAAAATTTAAAACCGGACTTTGATATACGAAAAATAAAATTGGATAATTATTTGAATATGAGTCGACCAAGTGAAATTGCGAGGCAAATTGACGAAATTGTTTATCATATTAAGGGAAAAAAGGTCAGAATACAAAAAGAACGGGAAGCAATTGAACAAGATAAGCGAGAAAGAAATGAATTAATGAAAGGAAGGGACAAACTGGAAGATGAGATTGAAGAATTAAAACTGAAAATTGATAGGGAACAAAGTAGAATTTCTAAAAAAGAAAAGGAAGTTGAAGGGATGATAAATAACATTAAGGGGCTGGTTAATGATTTAGTAAAAATAAAGGAAGAGTATGAAAAAGGAATGGTCAGTCCTAACCCATACTCAAAAGAAGAACCCGTTAAAGATATTTACGAGAAAGTGGTAAATTTTTTAAGAGACGAGGGGGTAGAAGAGATGAAATAGAAACAAAAGGGGACGTTCAGATGATTAGGGAAATAGGCAGAAAATTGTTTTCCAAAAAAAGGTTAAGGGTAATGAATTGGAATTCGAAATGAATGGGAGGAAAGTGTAAAGCGGTATAAAAGTGATTTGAAATTGGGAAAAAGAATTTTGTAAAAAATTAAAATGGCTTCTCAATATTGAAACACAAGAAGATTCATAAAATCAGGGGTAACCCAAGGAAACTTCAAAAGACATGATTGGCAACCAGAAAAGGGGGATATTAATAAACGAATAGCATCAAAGGAAGGGTTAAGATGTAAAAGACTGATGTAACTCAACAAAAGAAATTGAAGTTTTTATGGGGTACCAAAATGTAAAGAATGTTTAACGCATATAGTCAGAAATTCATGGGAAAAAGTAGTTCAGGAATATAATGAAATAAAAGATGTAGTGAAATCGGAAATTAATTTAGAAAGGGTAACTTTTGTATTTTACGAAAAGAAAAAGAATATGAAAAATATGGGAGAATATTATTTATTTTATTTTATTTTAAATAAATTAGGATTAGAATTTTAGTCATGTGATTAGTAGAAATGAAATTTATATTTAATGTATTTTTATTAATATTATTTTATGAGAATAGCACATATTTTACGTACATCCTACCAGAGTTTATGCACTTGCACGTGATAGCGTTAAACTTAACTCCGGCCAGTGCGTACGTACACATGATGCGTAACAGCGAAGATGGGTTCCTTAACTGTTAATGTACAATGAGGTACTCACGATATTAAAGTACGAACTGGCCGGAATTAACGTTAACGCTATCACGTGCAAGTGCATAACTCCTAAACTCGGGCCAGTTCGTACGTTAATATCGACTGTAAAGGACGCACCTTTAATCATATATATACACAATTTTTTTTTGCTTGAGATTATTAGATTACCATTCAGGATGACATATCCAATAATGTGACTTGATATTTTAAAAAGTCCGTCCAATAAGATTAGTAATATTTTTTGTTAAAAGCCAATCTTAAAAATCACTAATCATAATCTTTATCGCCAATACACGTAATGCAGGGTCAAGTTAGTTATGTCGTACAACGTCAGATACCATAATGCATTTATTTTTATGTGGTTTCAAGATCAAGCTTTGCGTTTCATAGTAACTTTATCCATGTGATATTTATTAGTGAAATGAAATAAAAAAAAAGTATCAAAAAAAAATAATTATTGTTACAGTCCACTCTAAAGACTCACTCTAAGGAAACAAATTTATTGTTGTAAATATAATACTAGTTACAGTATATGAAACTGCACATCAAATACGATGTTATACCCTATTATCTAAATTTTGTAGCAAAAACAAGTCATTTTACAAATTATAAGTTTCCACGGGCTTCTTGATCACGTTCAATAGCTTCAAATAACGACTATAAAAATAAAAATAATTTAATTATTTAATGCTGTTATAAAAAAAAACTCATACTGTTAAGTAGCTTTGGTTGTACCTTGAAGTTACCAGCACCGAACCCCTGATGGTTACGACGTTGAATTACTTCGATGAATAAAGTAGGTCGATCTTGAAGTGGTTTAGTGAATATCTATTTTTTTCATGAATATTGTGTTAACAAAAAAAATCTTTCTTTTCCCTTGAAATGAGTAAGAAATATTTTACCTGTAGTAAATAACCTTCTTCGTCATAATCAACTAAAATGTGCAACTTTTGTAAAATTTCAATATCCTCAAGAATTTTTGTACAAGAAGTTTGTAAACGTTCACGAAGGTTATCATAATATGAATCAGGGATTGTTATAAATTCCAATCCACGGGCACGAAGATTTGTTATACTTGTAATAATACTAATTTCGAGAATAGAAAGAATACATAATTATTTATCAATTTTACGTAATGCAAAATATATATATATATATTTATCCTGCATTAAAAACAATATTAATGCAAACAATTATGTATAATGATACTTGCTCTTCAGTTCTTAATGCAATATGTTGAACTCCTGCACCGCCTGTTACACAATAAAGAGAAAATTTATAATTCGATGAATGAAGAAAATAAAGAGATCATTTTTTTATTACCGTAATAGTCAACATATTCTTGAATTTGAGATTTTTTTCGCCCGATTGCTGGTTCATTTACTGGCATTTTAATCTTTTCATGGTAATCGGCCATGACAATTGAACGCAAAGAAGAGTATTCCGTATGAATTTGTTTATCGTCAACTGACCAAAATCGATGAAAATTGAAAACCTTTTCATACCTAAAAAAAGAATCGGTACAACAATAATATTAATAATTAAAAATAAACGCGGCGGGATAAAATAACTTACATTTCACAAATTTGGTCCATTTCAAGATCGGGTTGGTTGCCGACCACATGATCTATATGACCTAAATTAGCGGGAGGCAAAGTTTCCTCTAAAGGATCTTTAAACGATAAGCGGCGAAAATTTGGTAAAAATTCACCATGATAATTTTTCCTTTCAACAAAAGTATGTACGGTATCACCATAGGTTCCTATAGTGGCCATAATAACTACTCCATTTTCATCGCGTTCTTCCCACGGTTCCCTAATTGATTTACCACCACGTTGTACACAATTTTCCCAAAGACCTCTCGCATCATCTACAGTGAATGCTACATCTTTTACACCATCTCCATGAAGACTTTGATGGTCACTCATTAATTTATCGTTTGGATTAAGCGGTGATTGAAATACAAAGGTTATCGAATTCTGTCTAACTACGTGAGATACTACATCACGTACTCCCGTTTCTAAACCTTGATATCCAATATGCTTAAAACCGAGTTTAGTACAATAATATGACGCAGCTATACGAAGATAATAGAAAAGTTATTTACGACTTAAAAAGAAGCGTTCTTTATGTATGATAAATCCTTACCCTGTTTTGCGTTTCCAACCCAATATTTTATGTGATCTATAATTAAAGATACATAATTTTAACTTTGAATTTCAAAGATAGTAAATTTGGACACTCAATATGACAGACGATGAATAAAGTAATGTGCACTGAGAAGTTGAAAACATATTTGGACATCCAAATCTTGCAATCCTATACTAACAATTCAATAAAATTATACTGCACATAGAAATACATAAAATAATGTGTTGAAATTATTGGAATATTGGAAGGATAAGGCCCAATTCCCAATGAAACTTCCAATGCACATCACAGCTCTGGATCTTTATGACGAAATTCACCAAAAACATATTAACATACCAAATCCTTCGTAATTGCCGAGATCGAGTTTAGGTCCTTTGTTTGTATAAGAAGTCATCTTTCAAATAAATTTGAGAAAACGTAAATTTAAGAAAGATTTTTAAATAATATAAATGTCGGATTTAAATTTGCTGTTGGTTTTGATTCAAATTTATACGCAAAAATTTTAATCTATTTTTGGCAAAAAAGTTCTCAGGGGTCATACTTTCTCACGCCTTACAAATAAATAATAATGCGATTATCTGCTATTCTTTCCTAGTTCAGTCAGCTGACCCATATCGCAAAATTCCCACAATAAATTGACATCATTAAATGGTAGTACAATGCACTATAATATAGTATTATCGGTAACCAGGAATTTTTTTCCCCTTACCGAATGTTACATTTAAAACTTTATTCATCATTTTTCATAAAATTAATATTAATAATCTTTTACATAAATTCGACATATGATCAATGAAAAAAAAATTCATCAATTCATCGTACAAGATAATTGTAGACAATGATATTACTCCTCTTAATACCAGGAGCGATACTTGCGATAATAGGAAGTAGTGTCTAAATAAATTATTGGTATTAAAAAGCTTTGTTCCTTGATTATTGGAAATACTTTACACGTATTACCTCGAATAGTATTCATTCCTTGAACATCTCCTAAATTAACATAACCTTCTTCGTTTATTAAAAGTTCGGAACCGGATTCCTCCCAATTGATGCGACAATAAACACAGGTAACCTAATAGATAAATAAAAAATAAAAATAAATTTTAATTTTAAAGAGTAAAAAGTATGCATACTTTGTCACCGCGTTTTGATCTCTTCCATTGCTCGAAACAGTCTTTGTGAAGGTTATTTCCGCAACCTTCTTTACACCATACGATATTTTTATGATCTTTTTCTTCTAAGGGTTCATAGCTATTAAAATTAAATTTAAAGAATATTAAATAGTGTGATTAATTATATTCTGATAGTCTGGAAACGATTGTAGAAAGGGCATCTAAGTACCAAATAGGGCAATTTCCTTCGATTGGTCGGCGTTTTTCGTTTTCATTTCCATTGGTGTCACTTACTAATTCACCGGAAGTGAACGTTTTATATTTATCACGAACACGTTGGTTTGCCTATAAATATAAGATATTTAATAAGTTAGTAGAAATTTGATTATGTACAATCATTTAAAGAATAAAGTTACCAAAACAGTCGGATCAGGCGCAGCGTTGGCAAAGATTGAACGGAGTTCTTTAGACAAAAGCGCCTTCTGATAGATAAACGAGCTATCTCGATTTAGGCGAAAAACTTTGAGATAAATAAAGAACTAAACGATTATATAGATGTTAAATGTCATCATAATTTTAGGTCTCGATAAAAAGATTTTTGATTTTTTCTAATATACGTACAATATGTTTACACAAATTTCCTTTCCCGAAATCTGGACAAGTGCAATTTGGTACATGTTTAATAGTAACTGTGTATATCTAAAGAGTTTTTTTTTAAAAAAAAAACAAAAGAAATTTAATAAATTTTTAAAGTAAAAGTTCGTTATAGGTTAATGAAATTTACATTGCCGGTTGATCCTAAAACTGCAAATTCTTCGTGGAAATCGTCAATCTTTTCTCGATTAACCATATAAAGTCGTTGTTGTTCCGCACGAATAATACGCTCATAAATAGGCTATGATCATCAAAAAGAAAAAGAAAGAATTATTCACGCAATGAAAATTTATTTAAAACAAACCCTTAATCTTACAGTTGAGCAAATCGTTCTGGTACGAGCTAATCGTTTCTCTTCAGGTTTTTTAGACTTCTTTGATTTTTTATTTTCCTTTGCAGGATCTGCTTCCCGTTCCCCATTATCATTTTCAGTAGTCGTCTTTCTCTTTTTACCACGGTTCTTAGTAGCCTCTGTAGTAGCTTCAACAGGCTCTGCTAATTCTTGTTCCAACACATTTATACGTCCACGTTTAGGGGGATTTCCTTCAGATATTTCTTCGTTTGTTTTTGGATTGCTGCTTGTCATTTGATCGGGATCGGCCGTGGTACTACTTTCTGAGACTGTCTTTCGTTTACGACCGCGTTGTGAAGTTGTAGAAGCACTAGTAGATGCCACATTAGTAGGTTCTTCCGTAATCTGAGCAGTTGTTTCGTTTAATTTTCGTTCACGTTTAGGAATAGAAACAACTGGTAGTGATGATGATTGTAACTGTTCCTCAATTCCTGCAGGTTGTTCATTTATTGAAGTTACTTGTTCAAGAATTTCAGATTCGGTTCCTACTGGTTGTTCAAGTGAAGAATTCTTTGGTTTTCGTCCACGTTTTGAACGAGGAATTTGTTGTGTAGAGCTCGTACTAATCATAGCCACATCTGGAGGTAATTGTTCAATAGCCGCGGTTGTTGTTTCTTGAGTAGTTGTTTCTTTATTTTGAGTAACTGTTTCTTGAATTCGAAGAGTTTCAGATTCGGTTCCTACTGGTTGTTCAGGTGAAGAATTCTTTGGTTTTCGTCCACGTTTTGGACGAGTAATTTGTTGAGTAGAACTCGTACTAGTCATAACCGTGTCTGGAAGTAATTGTTCAATAGCCGCGGTTGTTGTTTCTTGAGTAGTTGTTTCTTTATCTTGAGTGGCTGTTTCTCGAATTTGAAGAGTTTCAGATTCGGTTCCTACTGGTTGTTCAGGTGAAGAATTCTTTGGTTTTCGCCCACGTTTTGGACGAGTAATTTGTTGAGTAGAACTCGTACTAGTCATAACCGTGTCTGGAGGTAATTGTTCAATAGCCGCGGTTGTTGTTTCTTGAGTAGTTGTTTCTTTGTTTTGAGTAACTGTTTCTTGAATTCGAAGAGCAGATTCGGTTCCTACTGGTTGTTCAAGTGAAGAATTCTTTGGTTTTCGTCCACGTTTTGGACGAGTAATTTGTTGAATAGAACTCGTACTAGCTATAGCCGCGTCTGGAGGAAATTGTTCAATAACCATGGTTGTTGTTTCTTGAGTAGCTGTTTCTTTATCTTGAGTGGCTGTTTCTCGAATTTGAAGAGTTTCAGATTCGGTTCCTACTGGTTGTTCAGGTGAAGAATTCTTTGGTTTTCGTCCACGTTTTTGACGAGGAATTTGTTTAGAACTCGTCACATCCGCAACTGGAGGCAATTGCTCAATAACCATAGTTGTTGTTGTTTTTTGAGTAGTTGTATCTTGAGTAGCAATTTCTTGAATTTGGTCAGTTGTACTCATGCTTTGTCCGGTGGGAATTTTTGGTTTTCGTCCGCGTGAACGTGTAGCAACAGTTAACTTTGATTGTATACCGTCAGAAGGATTTACAATTTCGGTAGTAGAAGAACTAATAGAAGAATCACTTGTATCCATATTTGCTACTCTTATAATAAATATTAACTATTAAGAAAAATATATATATTTCAATTAAAACAAGTATTCATGTATTTTTTTTGTTGTAAAAAAATAAAATAAACGCGTTTAAAAAGGTAAAAAAAAGCGAAAAAGCGTGGTCGAGAGAAAAAATTCCATCAGCACTAAATAAAATATCTTAATCAGTTTATATATTTACATATTTTTACATAAAAAAAAATCAAGATTATTCAAGTTAATGCAAACGAGCATATCGATATATCGAGCATATGATAGAATACTTTTTTCGCGTTTTCTTATAAATTATGTCATCATTCTCAATTACTCATCAACCTTAGTTAACCTTGAGTAATAACGATCATTACCAATAAAGGAAATTGGTTGATTATACAGTATATATAGATTTTACGTAATTTCTCTCTTTTTTTTTAAAAAAAATAAAAATGCCCCCTTCAATTCATTGGGAAGAAATTACAAAATTAATTTCAGCTAGATTATATACATTAGGATTTGATTCGGTGAAAGCATTTCCAGCACAAAGGTCAATTAAGATACAATGTATTATATAAATTTAAATAATAAAATTAATTATTTATTAATTATTCTTGTTCTCTTTTTATAGGTATAATGAAAAATTATCAACGTACTCTCCTTTACCAACATTTTCTCAAACGAATTCAACGTTGTCAATTCTAGTAGGAAACACCAAACATCTTTGGACAGAATTTTTAAAATATTATTCGACCGAAATTTTTACAAATTACACATATGAAATTCCTCCTTCAAGTAATCACTGCGCAAGTTCAACGACTTATTCCGAAGACAGTGATAACGAAGAATATAAAAAACAAAATCCTTTAGATTATTATACAAGAATAAGTATAACAAAAGTTATTAAAGAAATAATTTTATTAAAAAATTTAGCAAATTTAAATTACGATATTAGGTATACATTTGATTTAGATAAAAAAAAATTCGTCGCTTTTCAAATCTTGGCAGAAAATGCATCATTCGCTTATTATAACAGAATCTGCTATTTAAATGTTCATAAAGAATTTGGACCTTGGATAGGTTTGAGAGCTGTTATCACTTTTGATATAGAAGGACCTCTTAATTCTTTACAGTTATTTCCTGAACTAAAAAATCCCTTTCCGGAAGGGGATGAGAATCTCGAAAGAAAAATACAAGAAATTTATGGTACAAAAGATCATAATTATCACCAACAGGATAATCGCATGATTACGGATGAGAATAAGTCGGATACGAAATCAGAAGAAATAAAAGAACAATGGCATAAATTTGTTGAATTGAGAGATATTGCTTCCGGATTTATGGATAAAGAATTATTAGAAAAGTATCGATATTCTAAAGATCAAATTGAATATCATTATACAAATAATATTGAATTATTGAATAGGATAGTATTAAATAATAAAAATTAAATTAAAATTACAAAGAAAAATAATTATTTAATATGAAAACTTCCCGGTAACTAATAAGTAATTACATTTAAACTATATTTAAATTACTGATTTAGTTCAAATTAGGAAATCTAATATTACTAAATTTATAATTCATAGGACCATTTTCCTAAATGATCAAATTCTATTTTTTCCCATCGCATGTGCAAAATATAACAGCGCCCTTTGAGAAACAAAAAAAATTTAGCGGCAATATGATCTACATTCGTGCAGTATAATAATTTACTTTTTATGTATGCATTCCCATTTTTGTCGTTCTAGAAGGTTTTTTCGTCTTTTTTCGTCTCATTATGCGCGTATGGCAAAATAACTATTATCACACATGTAAGAAGAACCCAAACCCTTGAAAATAATAGTTGATTATTCAAAAAAAAAACGCATTTGTTTATGATTGGAAAAGGGAATGATGATTTATTTCATCATAAGAAAAATTGATTTTTCTACAACTGGTAACGAATTTCATTTACTAGGTTTTGGCGTTATCTCCTTATTGGATTAATATTCCGTTCATATAATATATATTCTAAATTTGGTTTCACTTTGTTTGAACAAATTATTTATTCTATATATAATATAAGATGCGCGTGTTAAATTTTAGACCCTCGATTCTTGTTTCAATGTCAAAATATTTATTTAAATCTATTTAAAACAAAAAAAAAATTTTTTTTTTATACTTTTAACCCCCATCTTAGTTTTACATACAAAATATAAAGTCCCTCTGGGAGGAATTTTATTTTTGTACTCTATAATTCAAATCATAATACTTTTTTTTTCTTCTCTATTTTTTATTATTAATTTATATTTTTTTAATATCATGAGGTTTTACAATAAATTGGTATTTAGGATTTAAATACTTTTTCTGTTAAAGTTTAATTATAATTGTTAGTTTAATCGTAGTGAATTAATTTTTTTATAGTGGGCCCGTATAACTGAATCACGATGGACCATTTCATATATAAGTTTCGCGGTGTTGCAAATGATAATAGCAATAGTAATAGAAGCTATAATATTACAAAAAAATGAAAACAGTTATGGAACATTGACGACGTATATGGGTGATGACGATAAAGAGAACTTTGAAAAGATTGTGTACAAAAAATATACGTATACTCAATATAGTAAACAATTCCAGTCGATTATACATGGAAATATATGGTTTATGGTGTTTGAAGCCTTCCTTACAGCTTTATGTTTTTCTTCGGTACGTATCCAATTTTCGTTGATAAATCGATCTTAATTGATTATCCGCTAATATTTATCAATAATTTAATTATTTAGTTATTCTTTCAAGTAAGTAATTGACATATTTAAAGTCTATTATTTAATTTATCTTAATTAATTCAATTTACTAAACATTCTATTAGAATACTATTGAAGTAATATCAATTGCAATCATAAATGTATGCTTAATATTTTTTGCGGGAGTACAAATTTACCAAAGTAATAAGTGGATTATTCGAGTTAATTCACAAATTGAATTGGATCTTAAGGAAATATCTTTAACTAAAGATGTTATTCCATGGGAAGCACTTCAACTTGTATTAATGATAGGTTTTACTTCCGCTTCGATAGTTTTTGGATACAAATTATATAAGCAATTTGGCTGGAATATCTACAAAGAAATAGGTGCAAATATACAGATGCAAAGTAAGGAAATATTTTTTTTTTACTTTATTTTAAAATAAACAAAGTTGTTGATTTTTTTTTTCTTTTTAAAAAAAAAATAGGAATGTATCGAACATATCTAGGTGAACTAAATATAATTTGTAATTTTAATATGTTTTCATCAATAAATATGTATATGCTTATATTTTTATTTTATTATAGTGTTCCTTTTGCTACTAAAGTTAGATCTACTTCTCTTGATGGGGTTTCAAATTCTTAATTTAGTTTTCTTGTTCAGTGATGCGGAAGAAGATCAAACCACAACTATAATCATCCAAAGTATTATGGTTGCAAGTGTTATCCCAATAGTCGGGTTAGCATTATGGGGGGTATGTAGTAATAGCAAAAATTTCTTCATGAAAAAAAATTTGAAATTTATTATATTTTTTTTGTATTAGGTTCGGAGAGAAAATCAAGTAGCCATGTTCATTTTTGCAGTGGCTTCTGTAGCTACTATAGTGAATTTTATTTATATTTTAGCTAAGTTTATCATTAACAGAGATGAATACTTGTTAACATTATTGGTAATTATTATAACTGATCGAAGAAAAAGGATCATAATTTTCATAAATATATTTCTTTACTAACTGTTTTTACTGGCTTTAAAGGATATCCTCGGTATCTTAATAACTATAATGTCAATGGTGATTGCCTATTTAGCAACGCGTAATTTCGGTATGAATTTATGTTGATTGATTTATGTTTTGTTGATAAATATTTATTAACTATTTATGTTTATCTAGATCGTGGTTTGAAGAATCATTGTAAGTACTCAGTATGATTTATTCTAACATGTCATCAAATTAATAAAAATAACATTATCTGATATTGTTAAAATTTCTTAGTTCAAAAAAGAGATCATGAAGATGCTGTCAATTTGGAAGCTTGCGGTGGTCAAGGACAGCGAAAACGGTTTTCAATCGACGATTAGCTTTTTATGATTGCTAATTGAAGGTAATAACTTTAAACAATCTTTTTACCTATTTACGTTTAGAGATGAATACTCACTTTTTATCACATTTTGTAATACTATATTTGATTTTTAAAGAATTTTTTTTTTTTTTTTTTATTAATTTTGGAGTTTCTAAAAAATCTTTATTATAGACCTTTAATTACTGAATTTTTTGTACTATACCAGATAAAAAAAAATTTTATACATTTATATAAAACTTTCCTCAAAAATTCATCATACCGTAATAATTTATCCTTATTCATCCCATTTATCAATTTATCATCATTTGTATTGTATACCTTTCTCATATCCTTCATTTAAAAAAACAATGCTATTTTCAATAATAAGCCTTTATTTGTATAGAAAACATTAAAAAAGAAATCATATTGTAACTTGTAATTCTAATATGTTTTTAATATTACATTATACAAATTCCATATAAAGTCTTTACGTTTATATCTTAGTATCGTTAGTACCGTTTAAAATTAAATATATGGAATTTATATTTGTTTATTTGGCTAAAAAAAAGATTTATTTAAATTTAATTTTACTTTTAACATTAAAAAAGCTTATATACTACAATTACTAAAAAAGATAATAATTTTTTTTTCTTTTTTGAGCGATTCAAATGATACAACCTTTTTTTTTAATCGGAAACAACATATCCTTTACCTATATTTATTAAAAAATTTTTTTTTTGTTAATATATTGAATATATTTCAAAAGATAACATTAGCAACGAATTACCTTTATATCCTTCGGATGAAATACCAGTTATAGGGTTAGCCTTTTGTTGGCGCATTCTTTCATTAGTAGCTTCTTCCCATTCTTTATTAAGAGTTTTTGGATGTTCAGTTACTTTTTTTTAAAAGAATTACGAGTTAAAATGATTTTTTAGGAGCCATTCATATAGAACACAATTTGAAAAAATAAATAGATATTTTACCAGCTTTCTTTGTCATAAAAAAAAATCCACCACTAACGATAAGTAATCCAGTAACTCCTGCAATTATTTTGCCAGTATGGCGTGACTCATAAAATTCTCTTGGTCCATAATTCCCAAAAGAAATATAATAGGCTTTTTAATTAAAAAATAAATATTTACTAGTTAAAAAATTTATATAAATTATAATTTTTCGTATTTTCCTTTAATAATGCTTTCTTTTATTAAATGAATGCTTATGTGCATATTTTTTTTTTTAAAAAAAAAAATTCATGAAATACCCGCTTTCTTTTCTTCAAGAGAAAGTCTTTGCCAATCTTGTTTTTGTAATTCTTCGATTCTTTTTGTAATGTCACTCTGTTCTTCAGGTGATAATGTATTCCATTTACCGACAACTTCAGTAATTGTTACTGGGGTATAAGAAATACCTCTCTTACTGAAATTAACAGTTCTATTAAGAATTTGATGTTGATTGATACGAACTAGAGAACGAAACATAATGTAGAAGTAAGCTATTTATCTTGGATTTTTTTTTTTGTTCAGGTAAAACTGATATATCATAAATTGACAATCACACTTTTCGAGATACAATCCGGGGGAGATAACCAGATCATATACATGTATAATTTCGTTTTATAATTTTGGGCCAAAATTTTTAATTCTGGCCTAGACTATATATCTTTCATTTTTATTAAAAAATTAAAGGTACGTTCATGAAAATTTACATGGATTTGTTATGCAATTTAATTGGTCACCAATCAATAAATATTAAAACTAACAATAAATAAATATATATATATATAAATATTATAAATTTTTTACTATTATAAAAAAATTTACAGTGAAATAATTTATACAATAGGAAATTTTTGCCTATAGCGGTAGCTCTAACCCTGAATATGTAATAATATAAATAATTATGCACTCACGTATCCCAATGTTGTTGATGAGCATACTTTTGAGCTTCATCAATTCCCAAACTTGCCGCTCTCAAAATTAATCTTTTAGATTCTTCCACATCCCTTTTCAATCCTCCGTAAGGCTTATGATAACAAACCCCTAAATGATACATTCCATGAGGAATGTTTTTATCGACTGCTTTCTTAAAATATTTTACAGCTTTAATTCTATCCCTAGTTAATCCTTGCCCTGTTAAATAAAGATATCCTATCATATCCATAGCATCTCCATCTCCACCTTCTACTGCTTTTTCGAGATATTCGATTGATTTTGGAATGTCTTTATCTACTCCCTTACCAAAAAAGTAATATTCTCCTAATCGGAATAAAGCATGTGGAAAGTCATCCATAACTTTTATATATTCTTCTCTTGCTTTGGCATAATCACGAAGTAGATGATAATTATTCGCTTTCTCTAATATTTCATCTAATGTAGGCTCAATTTCTTCTTCTTCAGAAAAATCGGAAGGTACCTCGAGATTGCGTGTAGATCTGACATGTAAATATCTTTCTTCTTCTTCTTTTATTAGTTCATCAAGTCCTAAATCAATACCATCCGGATCTTCTCCTGGAGCATAAGATGTATTTTCCAAACATTCAGGTCGGATTACCTCAAGATGATCAATGATTTCCGTAGTTTTAAATCTACGTTTTGGAACTAGACACGTACAATTTGTAAAAACGCTAGAAATTGATGGTGGCATGTTATGCGGTAATTTTAATTCTTTTCCTTCAACTTTTCTTAAATGATATACATGATCCAATTGAAACCCTTGCCAAGGAAATTTTTCGGATACAATTTCGTAAAATACGACTCCAAAAGAATATATATCACATTCTTCTGTAAAAATTGCTACATTATCTCCAAGCCTTTCTGGAGCTGTCCAACGAATTTGTTCTTCAAAAGAATCAATTAATCTCAGACTTCCTCCATTAGACCAACGAGATTTTCGGAAGTTAGTTATTTTAGCCCGAAAATATTTATCCAGAAGAATATTCGCACTATTTATATATTTATGCAATATTCCAGCTTTATGAAGAAATGCCATACCTAAATTAACACGTTTATTTTCATTGCAAAATAACAAAATAACATTAACGTTAACTAATATTTTTAGTGTTATAAAATATATATAATTAATTGTTTTAATAAAACGTACCCTGAGCTATTCCCAAAGCTATACTTCGTTTCTTTCCCCAATCACCTTTCAAATTACCAGATGCGATAAAAGCCTGCAAGTCTTCATGTTCACAATAATCTAAAACCAATGCCATATTCCCTCTAAGTGTGGTAACTCCGATTAGATCGATAATATTTGGGGAGGGAGCTAATTTTTGTAAATAAGCTACTTCCAATGCGAATTGTGAAACTTCATCGCTAACTGATTCTCTTGCCAACGTCACTTTAATAACTACTTTAAAATCTTTTGGTTTTCGAGTAAATTCATTTACAGTATGATAAATTGCAGTAAATAATCTATCTGTTTTATATCGTTCAAAATCAGATAATTCATTTGAATTTATTCTAGTGCCTAAAAGTGATGGTGCATTTTTTGCATGTTTATAACCGCGAATTTCTTCTAGAGTTTCTTTGACCATATTATTTATTTGAGCAAAAGCGATCTTGTCTTCTTCATGCCACGTTTTATGAGTTTCTTCCAATTCTTGTGAATTGACAAAATGTCGAATATTAATTGCAAAATTAAGTCGACTACATGCTTGATCTAACCTTTCTTCTATATCTTGAAACTCTGCCGCAAATTTCTTTGCATAAAAGATTTTTAATCCATATTTTGCTTCTGCATGTTGTTTAACTACAGCTCTACCATCTTCTAGTACGATAGCAAAAGCTTTTAAAGCAGAACCAAAACTTTTATCTTCTATTTCTTTTGGATTCTCTGCTAACTTATCCAATAATTCTTTTGCCGAATCACGAGCTATTTTAAATTGTTCACTAAGTCTTTTGCACTCAGCTTTGCAATGTCTAGCAGCTCCAGCATAAGTAACAATATCCTCGACAAGAAATGCAATGTTACCAGTTAAAACTGCAATAACTGCATGATTGATTACCTTTCCCACCTCGATAGCTCCTTCAATATATTTTGGTAAACTTACACTTAGCTTTTCACCAAAGTTAGCGATTCCGGAACCATATCCACCAAAGACTCGATCAAGTTTTACCTCATCGCTATCTAAACCACCTTTCCAGCCCAAAAAGTCCGAAGCCGATGAAGCCATCACAGGAGAACCAGTAGAACTAAAAGAATCCGTTGAGTCACAACGAAAATCAGAGCCTTTAAAAGATCTTTTTTTTGTCTTCGAACGTCGGAAATATGACATGACGGACTACATAGTTCAAAATACCTACAGCTTTATACTGTGTCGCGCCCTCTCTTTGTGTCACCCCTTTTTATATAAAATATACTTACAAGTCTAGTTAGTTTAGTTCAAAAAATCAGAAATCATTAAATATCGCCAATATTTCCCTTACGTGGCAATAGCTTAAAAAGTAACTTTCGATTATGTAAATCCCAAAAAAAAAAAAAATTTATCATTTCATGCAAAATACAAAATGATGTAATAATGTGATTATTTACAATGAAAAATGCGATCTTTCCACTAATACTATCTCGATTTGCTTAGAAAGATTAGAATCAAATAGTTTTAGGTTTAATCTGGTATATAAACAATTACGACATATAAGCCGTACTATACGTTTAATACGTTTTAATTATCAGGCAAATTATTGATTAAGAGAATTTACTATCCAATATGACGTACTTTACAAAGTATATACATTATGATATTTATGATATTTTATTAGTTTTGTCGTTGCGGTAATTCTGGTTGTTTCGGTTGCTGTGTTGAAGGTGGTTGCGGCTGTAATTGTTGCAATTGCAACTGTTGTTGGTGCTGTTTTAACACTGATAATTGTGACCTTGATTTTATTTGTTCACTTAATTGACGACAATTTTCTTTCAGTGTCATAATTTCTGTCTTTACATCATCAACAATTAGTCTCTCACATAAGTTTGTATATGCAGTCGAACATGATTTCTGAAATGAAAATTAATTAAATTTACCATCAGTTAATATTATAAAACAAATCTACGGAATATTTACCTCTGCTTCTTTTTTTAAAAGATCATTGTACTTGTCAAAAATCATTTTCCGCCTTTTGTAAAGTCTTAATGCATTTTTAGTAGCTATAAAATAACAATAAAATATATTTAATAAGGACTATCTATTTTTCTTTAACCAATGTAAAGTACACACCATCTAAATCTGAAGTTTGATTATTGCCTTTCATATCTTCTTCAGGATATTCAAAAATATGATATGGTAAAAGCCTTGCGACTGCATCTTTAAGGGATCGAAATGGAGTTTTATAGTCAGGTTGTAATACTGCCATTTGATCAGCCTTTGTTGCTGCTTCGAATCTATGATAAAAAGTATACAATAAATACCTAGAGAATTTTTTTTTTTCCAATTCTAATAATATCCATAAGATGGTTCTCTTACCTTTGCACGATATCTGAATTATGGTTAATTTCTTCCGCTGTTCTTTGAAGTCCTGTTGACTGAAATGATCTTTTAAATCCATGTGATGTCGATGGGCGATGTAGTGGCGTCGGTGCAGAATAATACTGAACTATTGGACGAGTAGTTGGTGTCGTACTTGTATAATAAGTGGATTGGACAGGTTGAGGAGATTGAATAAATTGAGTTGTTTGAGCGCTCATCTGATTATTCATGGGTACTGTTGTATTTATCGGTATATGTTGATATTGTGTTGGATATTCTTGTGTATATTGAGAATCTATCTCATCCGTGCTTCGTTTTTTGGCGTATCTTCCCGTCTTAGTGTACCTCCTCGTGGATCTTGATGATCCGTCGGAGTAAAATGAATCCTCTAATGGAGAAGAAGGATATAATGTCTGTGAAGTCATATTAGAAGGAGTTGTAGATTGAGATCTGTCTGATACAGCAGAATGTATTTCTGCAACAACTAAAGGAGGTCGTGATGTTAATGGTATATACAATTGCTTAGATGCTGTCTGTGTATTTAATGCTGCTGTGCTATTTATTGATTTGTTTGACGACGTAGACGTCGATATTGGAAAGGATGAAGATCGTGTTAACTGCGATGCTGATGCCAATGAAGATTGTACTTTTGTTGAAGTGTTATGAATAGTTACGGACGGATGTTCTGGAAGAGACGTAGATGTCGGTAACCGTGATGTTGTTGCATTTATCGTTGACTGCGAAGAAGTCGTAGAAATTCCTTGATCTTGTGTGTGCTGTGGCATAGATTGGGTAACAATGGCATTTGAATCGTGCAAAGTTTTTATTTCTTTAAGCAGTGCTTCTCTTTGCGCATCAGATAAAGAACTAACTGACATATTGTCAGCTAACCTATATATTATTTCGCCTTTCTTTCTATGCATAATAACCGTTAGACCAGCTAATTTCATCATTTTGACCTGCCCTTCTTGTTCACAGAGCGGTATTGTCTGATCCTGTGACGAAATTGAATTATTATTGTGTTGTCCATTTGAAATTCCTGTTCCAAAAACATTATTTTGTAAATTACTTGAAGAGTTAATTACACTACTATTATTTTGATATCCATTATAGTTCAAATTCGAATCTTTTTTTTCTATTAGATTTTTTCTAAATCCATTTGAAGATTCAGTTGTTTGTCCCGGTGGATGAACTAATTGTCCAGTAGGTTGACAATTTGACAATTCCGTCTTCGCAACGTCTTCACGATTATTTTTAGATTCAAGCGTCATACCATTAATGTCGTCTTGAGTATTAATATTAATAGATGATGAATTTTTAACACAGAGTTCAGATTTTTCTTCCTTCACTACTAATTCAGATATATTTTGTGAATTAGGACTTGTTGCCTTTTTTGAAGATTTATGCAATGTTTCGTATGCATTCGCATTATTCTATAAAATAAAAAAACAATTCAAAATTTCGAATTCAAAATTAATTAAATAAATCAAATCTTTTACCTGTTTTTCCTTTAGTAATTCGCCATTATTTTGTGAATTATTCTCTTCGAACCTTTCAATATCTTCATCCTTGTAGTTCATAACTGTAGCCATGATTATAGGCATAAACATAAAATATCACAGTAGTTACGACAAAATCTTTCAATTTTTTTTTTTGAAAATTTTTTTATTTTTTTTTTTTTCGTTGTACGTAGTGAATATAATGTTCAATTGGTAAATTGAAAGAAAATTCGCGTTTCTGTAGATTGTATGAATACAATTAAAAAAAAGACATTGTCAGAAAACTTTGATATATTTTGTAGACATCTTTTTTTTTTATTTTATTAGAACAGTCTCTAACGATGCAACAATCGCTTCAGTAGTAATTATTTCAAAACTCCAAAATTATGGATGCTACTACAAAGAAAATTACAATTGAATAGAATAAAAAAAAAAATTAAACTATTCAATAAAAACATTTAAACAAAATCACAAACTGGACCGTAATCAGGGAAAACAAGGATTAAAAAAAGAAGAAAAAATTGGTATGAGCAGAAAAGATGAGAAATCGCAAAGAAATTTTGTAAGCTATAAATCCGTAACTTGGTTTTAAATAACTTAAGACTTTTCAACTCTACTTTGAAGCTCAAACAACTAAGCAACCACAACAGAAAATGAAATATAAGTCAAAAAACGTATTTTATCGTACCTTACGTCCCAGTTTTTTTGGAAAGTAATTTGAGGGATTTTTGGCCAAACCAACTACCTAGGGCGCACGTTGAGTCGTCGGCTCAATGATCTAGTTTAAGAATCATTATTTTAAAAATTTGGTTGGCGACGATAACAATCCAGCCATTTGACCAGAATTATAATTAATAATTTAGGTAATATAGGTGGATAACAAAGCCACATATAACCGTGGCTTTTACAATTAAATAAAGTGGCGCCATAAACTCAAAATGTTAATCATTAAATTTTTCTTTATAATAAGATATAAAATTACATATATTTGTAATTATAATAGCTTTATTATTGATATTTACTATAGATCTTAATGTTATTCAAAATGGAGAAAAATTCCTATTATATTAATAATTAATAATTGAATTCATAAATTTTGAATTCTTTTAATGCAAATATATTATAATAAATACATTAGTAATAAAGTATTTAGTTTTGAATATATCTCCATAGAAGAAAATTTGTTGTTAAAAAAGCACTTTATTACATGCTTTCACTTATAGAGTTATTTACTTAGTATTACTTAAATATTATTATAATACAATTTAAGAAATTTGAGGATTTTTTAACAAAAGAAAGAAATTCTGAGTTTATATCATAATAAATAATTTTATTAATAAAATTTTGATTTAATTAATTTACAACATACCTAATGTAATATGTTGACTTTGTTGTCTTTAGCAAACTTTGCAAAAAAATTCATTTGTATTAAAAAGAAATGAAAAAAATACTATTTAAAGAGATATACTTATTACAAATTGGGCCAATATTTCTACATTATATTAATAATTAAATAATTTTAATAATTTTGAAATTAGCTGTCCATCCAATGAAAAACGTTATTTTATAAAATTCTGTATTTCTTACATAATATGTTGATAATTACTTGCATTTTTATTACGAATGTGAAAAAATGTATTTCAATGGTAATAAATATGTATTTTTAATAAGTAATATATGATATACTAAATTCCAATAAAAAGTAAACAGGAAAAAATAATTCTATGATTGTACTTTTATAATTCTAAAGGAATATTTTCATCATACCACCAAGTTTTTAAAGTTTTATCATCACTACAACTAACAAATAAATTTTGTTTTTGATTCCAGACAGCACTATAAACCATTCCTGTATGGCCCCTCAACTTCTGTAAAACTTCACCAGTATCTTGATCCCAAATATATACGATTCCATCCTATTAAATTAATGAATTATTAAAAATAAATTCAATTGACTTAACAATATCGTCATAGCGATATGTAAATTTTAGTAATAATTTATTTATAATGATTTACCTCTGAACCTCCGGCTATTAAAGAATTATTTACAAAGCAAGCACGAATAAAATTTTTCGAAGTATTTTGATGTCCTTTTAACCTTCTTATAGGACGAGTCTAAGCATACAAATAAGTAATAAATTTTATGAATATGATTTAAATTTAACTTAAATTCATTACTTACCATTCTCACATCCCATAATCTATTAGAATTATCTTTAGAACTACTTAACAATAAAGTTCCACTAGAATTCATTTCTACAGAAGTTACTTCACCCAAATGTGAAGAAATTGTTCTTATACATAAACCTGATACAATGTCCCAAAATTTTATTGTATTATCCTTTGAGCTTTAATAGGAAAAAAGAGTGAGATGATAATAGATATAATAAATAATGATCTTTGCAATACATACCCACTAACTATCAAATTACCCAATGGATTGAATATGGTTTTGGATACTGATAACTGATGACCAGTAAACGTTTTTACCAATCGGCCAGCTGAAACATCGTAAAGTCTTATAATCTTATCATAACCTCCCGTTACAATATGATTCTTTTATTCATATATTAAAATTAAAAATGATGTTAAATTATAAATAATTACAATATTAATTTCCATTTTTAATTATACTTACATCTCCGGGATGAAACCTAACTGAATACACGTCACTCGAGTGTTCAGTAAATGAAGTTACACAAACATGTTTACTAGTGTCCCACAGCTATTTATTGTATTAGCTTATTTAATTAAACAATCATAAATTATTTATTAAATGAACAAAAAGATAATTATATAAATTCAATCATAAACCTTAATGCTTCCATCACCACTGGCACTTGATACCATTGTACCAATTTTATTTGATGAAACGTCCCAAATTCGGGATTCATGACCTTCCAAAATTCCCATTTCTTTCGAATTTTCAGTATCCCAGATTCTTAGTGTATTATCACTATAGTATATACATTCACATTATTAATAAAAATATTTTAGATAAAATTTAACATTTAAAATATATTTATTAACTTGATTTACCTTGAACCACTAACAATTTCTCTTCCTTCTTCACCAATAAATTCTACACATTTGACATTGCCATGGTGTCCAGTTAATGTTGCACGTACTGCATTTGGTATTACAAAACTGGTATAGTCTTGTAATAAGGTATTCACGCGTGGAGATACACGTGGGTGATACCGGGAGAATTCTATTTGGTAAGCAACGGCTTGCCGGAGTAGCGTGAGAAGTCGATTGGGCGGTACATATACGGAACCTTTCTCGGTGAGAAATCATTGAATGTTTCTGCTATTTTTCCACAAACACAATGAAAATACGCAAAGAAAAATTCCAACAAAATTATTAAAAATAAAATTCTCAGATTTGATTCATACCATCCTTGTCTGTATTTTCAAAATTAAGCATGTTTTGGAATTGTTCGACTAATTTCTCTCTAAAAAGATTATTGAGAAGAAAACAATTAATCAAATAATATATATAATAATATCTTAAACTATGCTTTATTCCCAATATAAAAACCTTGCTGGCCCAATTCCTTCCCAATTTTTGAATGAAGGTGCATCATGAACAGCTTTTGCAGTTAACAAATAACACATGTCTTTAAATTCATTGGAAGTTGTTTGAAGATGCTCAAGAGGTTTCAATCTTCTATTAAGAAATGTGAAAGCCTAAATATAAAAAAGTTAACTTGCTATGCATGACTTAAAAAAAACATTTAATTTTTAGTTTACCTTTTGAATCTCCTGATGTTCAATATATTCAAGGTATTGTTGTTTATACACAGCATACAAAAAACTTTTATGATTTTTTACCAAAGGTTTAGCACTCAGTTTATCAACTTCTGCCCAATCTCCATCTAACATATAAAAAAATATCCAATTATAAAAATCTGTACATCTCAGATTGCTTACCAAAACTCCTAGATTTTGACAATATCAATTGCCAAACTATATAACAAACTCGTTGAACTATATTAAAACTTTCCTGCTAGGATAGGATGAAGTTTTGGCAAGCAACCTTTAGTACGTACGATTTCAATGAAATCTAACACATCAATATTACCAAGGATCGCTTTCTTCAAGCGCTTAACTTCAACAATGCGTTCTTCTCTCTCGTGCCATTTTACATTCGCCTCATCATAAACAGTCATTTTTGATGCAGTATATCCTTCGTCCGAAAGATATTGAATTATCATACGAACTATATCCTGTTATTATTAAAAAGAGCAGCATTAATAATAATTTGCAAATTGATAAAGACTTAAAATCTTCACCTCACGTATTTTAGGATCTTCAGGATTAAAAATATCTTCAGTAGGTCTGATACACTTTAAATGCGCACCAACATGATGATGTGCTGTAGCTAAAGCAGCAAGACTTACAAGATAGTTTATAAATCAGCAAATTTTCCAAAAATAGTTTTCAGAATCAACATCAAAAATATTTACCTTTTACGTCTATTACTGTCTAACTCATCATTTTCTTCGATAGTCCTTTGGTCCAAGTTAGAGTTAGCACTTGTGTCAGACATATTTTATTATTCAAAGCCGGGTTGAAAGCTTTGAAAACAAATATGTGGTTTTTGATTTACCAATTTGTGTAACTGATCTTCAATAAATTTTTTTTTGATAATCTTATGTATTTCGGAGTACAGTAGAATAAATTTATACATACTGTGTCGATAAGCTAAAATTATGGCATTTTTTGAAACGAGTTTGTTCAACGTTCCTTCTACTTTCTGATTAATATTTATATTCCTCCCATTCTCAAATATATACATAATGTTTGATAAAAGATAGATATTTCTTCCTACCCTTATCGAAAGTGTCAAGCTTCTTATCCAAAATCAAGATATGCTCGTCTTATCACACCCCATAAAGGCATTGGTGAATGTTTCACTCAAACAATTAAAGAGGAGGAGATTATTTCCCTTTGACACAGTAACGCTGTTAATGTTATTCGATATTTCCCTACTAAAGCCTTGAATTTGCTTTTAAAGACAAGTTTAAGCGAATGTTTAATATAAAAGAGATAAAGATGGTTATGCCAAAGCCTTTCTTGGTAACATTGCGTCTGGTAGTGTTTCTGGTGCTGTTTCTTTGACTTTTGTGTACTCGCCTGATTATATTAGAATTCGTCTCTCTAACGGTGCTAAGAATGCTAAAAAAGGAGGTAAACGTCAATTTCATGGTCTCATCGATGTCTATCACAAAACACTTAAGTCAGATGGTATCATTGGTCTTTACAGAGGTACAGTATTTTTTTAATTTATAAATTCGATCTTTCGCGTTTTGGTCTATATATTTAATTCTGATTTCGTTTATATTTCGTCTATTTTTGTAATAATGTGTCAACTAGTTAATTAATTACAAATGTTATTTGATGGATTGATGAAAATTAAAAAAGTTTAGATGATATAATGCCAGATTTTAATAAAATTTTCAAAAAAAGAAAAAAAGTCAATTAAATAAATTAAATTTTATTGCATCATTGAGGAATTTTGTTGATTATGTTGTGCTAACGTTAAAACAAAATATTATATATATTATATGACTGACTATAAAGTATAAACATACCAATTTTTGACTTTTGAAAAACTATATTAATAAAATTAATAATGCACGTGATTTAAAATTAATAGTGATTGGAAATCGCAAAATTTACTGCATAACAGATAAAATCAAAGTTAACACCTTTTCATAAACAATCCGGTTATGACAGAATTAGCGACAAATTGCAATCACTTCATTTAAACTTAAAGAGTATTCAGTCCATTGTATGTTATTTGTCGCGCAATATTTGACTTATAACAACTAAAGTATGTACTATATACTGTACACACACAAAATTTTTTATTTATTTTATTAGTACTTTAATAATAACGAGTAACACGACAAATTAAGCTTATCAGCGACTAACGTATTCCGGTTCTTTGAAGGTTTTCCTATCGTTTTCGCGAGGCTTGACCGATATAGTCAGTTATTCGCAAATTTTTGATCACGATGGGTACACTCGATTCTTAGCTTTAGAAATCAGATTATTGACAAAAAAAAATTCACACAACATTGTAATATACCGTCTATCGAATATAGATTTATTGTTATTTTAAATCAAATTTAAAGTTTCATATTAAATTCTTCTAGTACTATCAGGATGGAAGTTGTACCCGGGGTACTATTCAATTTTTAAACTGAGTAAATTGTAAAAGAATCGGAGTACTTTAGACAGGACTAGTAGTCAAACTTTAGGATAATGTCGATCTAGTAATATATTACAGTTAACGGATGATTAATGATTATATAATATTTATTGTAATATCTATAAAATCTGATTAATCATTTGAGCCGAAGCCAAACGGCCCTAACATGTTGTTCCACATGAGTTAGAGTTAATTACAAAGTATTCATAAAGTATTGATGCATTAATATGCAAAACCTGTAAATCTATAAATGCTTTTGATTCTGATTCTAATATTAATTAAGTAATTATGAAGTCGAAAATCAAAGTTATAAGTTAAAATGTATAATTACATCATATATTTTGACTTTTGACTTTAGCAAATAATTAGTGCAAATCTATAGCCAAAGAGTAATCAATATTAATGTAAACTTTTTTCAAATGGTTCAAATTATAAAAATTCTTTTAATATATAAAAAAAAAATGATTTTAACTTCAAAATCTAATATCTTGCAAGCCAGCTATTACATCCTAAACTTTTTAATAATATATCTAGTATTTTTTCTACCCTTTTACCGATTTCCAAAATCAAATAGTTGAATGTCGGGGTAAGAATTGAGCTATAATCGAACTTATCCAGAACCACCAGAATAGGCCTTACCAAGGAATATTACTTGAAGTTTATCATAGCTATTGCAAAATTAAAATGAAAGGGTACATATTTTAAAGAATATTTAAAAAACAATTTAGACAATTAAAGTATAGAAAAAAACTTACCCAGCCAACACACCAGCACCAGCAATGGCACGGAGAATATTAGCACCAGCACCCTTGAACAAAGATTTTGGTCCTTCTTTAGCTATGATTTCTTTAAAGGCATGAAGCGAGGATTTATATTTTACAGCTTCGCCAGAAGTCATCATCATACGACGGCGTATAGTATCTATGGGATAACTTGCAAGACCTGCTCCAATGGTCACACTCCAACCAAGCAAGAATCTAATTTTGTACAATGTAAGTCGCAAATTTGTGAGTATTTAACGTAAAAGAGAATCAAATTAAGCTATTGCTCTAATTATTATTGGAAAAGACAATCATATTACGTCCATAAGAAGCAATCGGTTTCAATTGCTCAACATTTAATGTTCTGAATGATTTTATAAATACAAATATCTCGTATGTATGCTTAAAGACCATGAGAGTTTTGGTACTTACGATGCAAGGAGACTGTCTTTAAGTCCACCAGTAAGAACTATTGGCTTCAAAGAATCGAACATACCGAAATAAAGACCTCTATAAATTATAATGCCTATTGTCATATGATTTAGAGAAAAAATGATCAGCGTTTGATATAAATAATTGTGCATATGACTCAATGGTTTAGTACGAGTCTTATTACTTGATGAGGTGCAATGCGCATCAATCCATCAAATAAAATTTGTAATTAACTTACCGACGCATGAAATGTTGAAACCTAGATTAATACAAAAATAGACGAAATATAAGAGAGATCAGAATTAAATATATTGATAAAAAAAACCAAAAGATCGAATCTAAATGAAAAATACTATACCTCTGTAAAGACCGATGAGACCATCTGACTTAAGTGTCTTGCGATAGACATCGATAAGACCATTAAATTGACGTTCACCTCCCTTTTTAGCATTCTTAGCATCGTTAGCAAGACGAGTTCTAGCATAATCAAGCGAGTATACAAAAGTCAAAGAAACAGCACCAGCAGCACCACCAGATGCGATGTTACCGAGAAAAACTTTAGCATAGCCATCTTTATCTTTTTTATAATTAAACATTCGCTTAAACTTGTCCTTAAACGCAAAATTCAAGGCTTGAGTAGGGAAATATCGAATAACATTGGCAGTGTTACCACGCCAAAGGGAGATAAAGCCTTCTTCTTTTATTGTTCGGGTGAAACATTCACCAATGCCTTTGTAGGGTGTAGCAAGACGACCGGACTTGAGCATCTCATCTTGATTCTGGATAAGAAGCTTGACACGTTCAATTGGGGCAGCAGCCGTCTTTGAGACAGCAGCAGAAACGCCACCCATCAAAAAGTCAGCGAGGAAGGAAGAGGAAGATTTGGTAGTTTTCTTTTCGCCCGACATTATGTATATTCAAGAGTGGGGAGGAAGTAAAGATTGAATAACCGGAAAATGGCAGAAAAATATAAGATCAAAAAAAAAAAAAAAAAATTGTAAAGAATGAATGTGAAAATTTTTAATTCGCTTATCAGAATGTATACAAATTACTCAATCCGTTAATCTCCGGTTTTTGTATTATTTCGTAATCTTTTTCTGCAAATACAAAACTTTTTTGGTCCATAAAAAAAATTAGGGGAACTCGGAAATTTGCAGATTTTAGAATAAAAAATAAGTTGTGTCCTACTATTTTCCCTAATCACAGCATAAATAGAAGTAAAACTCACAAGATCGGGCATTAAGTATAACCCTTATCTAAGAAAAGATTTTTTTCATTCAAAATTTTTTTTTTTTTTTTTTTTTAAAAAAAAAAGAGGAGAATAAAATATAAAAAAAGTATGATATTTATTTTTTATAATGTTTCTTTCCCAAGTTTATGATGATAGTATAATGTCATCCATATTATTCGGCATGAATGTGATGGTGACTTTTTAATGACTACGTACGGTATCTGACATGAAGAAACCTTGGACAGAAATTTCATTTATTTTTTGTTCTTTGCTTATTACTTTTTTTGATTTTTTTTAGGATATATCGTTAGTAACGAAATCATTTTTTTTTAAATCCTGTTAATACCCGATTGGCCATGATTTATAGATGATTTGATTGGTTAATAAGAAATTCATAAACCCGTAAGTTTCAAAATATTATAATTAAAAAAAAGAAATGAAAAAAAAACTTATTATTCGTTCAAGAAAACTTGATCAAAGAGGTCCTTGTACTCCGGAAATGGCTGCTCTTTTAACTTGCTGGGCAACTAGTTCAGTTGATTCTCCTTCCTGTGCACAAACTGTCCAAGCACTCACTGAATGTATGCGTAGAGCGGTAAAGTATAGAATCATTCAAACTTTTATAATAATCATTCCATTTATAAAAGTAAATGATAAACTTATTAATAATATTTAATCATGAAGCCAAAAAGTTCGAAACATACGAATACAATTAATTATCACCTAGCTCGTCTCGGCAAATTTTTGTAGGAAGGAACAATTGCATTTAATTACATTATCAATATGAACTTACGTTAATGTTAAATAAAATTAGTTAATCCACAAGTGAAATGTATCATATTACTAGTCCAAAAATTCATGGTTTATTCTTCAGTTTGGATAATGATGTCAAGGATTGATACAAGAAATCGTGAATACCGACAAATCCAAGTTTATAAAGTACATTCAAAAAATGAACTCTATAATCGTTAAATGATATTTGTAACCCGCCCGCCTGAAATAAATTTATTTAAATAAAAAGCATAAAAATACAAATATCATTACTTAATTTACTCACTGTTGATATATCTTTCAGCGAAAATTGTGTTGCGGGTAAAGTGAGCCGCCTTTTAATATTTGGAGTCGATTCCTCTAAATCCTGTTTTTAAAAAAATTATTTTCTAAATATAAAAAAATACATTATTTACAATTTAAATTGATACCTGAATACAAGATTTAGATAATGCGGCAAAAGATGGTAAATGAGTTAGTGAATAACAAGATGTCCAATCTTCATTACATGTCTCTTGCAATTTTCGAATAATATCGCTTTAATTAAACAATTAAATAAAACGCGTTAAAATAGCAAATAAATAAATAGAATAGAATAATCGAATAAAAAACTCACTCATCTAACTGAAATCCTTTTGAATTCTTATCAGTCTTATTAAAAGGACGATTCCTCCATAAACAATTACATATATCCATAACAAACGAATTAAAGTAATTTATATAGCTACGGCAATGAAGTGACACATTTTGTTGCGGATTCTTATCAAATGCTTCCTTATATCTACAATTAAAATTTTTATTGAGGAAATATGAAATGATCATTATCGTTTCAATAAAATGAACGCTTACTGTAAAATAATTCCACAAATTCTAGACAAACTCATTCCTGAAGATGAAAAGAACGCACGATAGACTATTGATGATGAAGGAATAACAACTCTGTTCCAATTGTAGTTCATTTGTAAATTCGCTATGGCTTCAAAGGCAGAAAAAATTGCGTGCTGCACTTCTAAATCATCATTTGTGCTCTAAATGAAACACCAAATGACATCAATTTAGAACTAAATTTAACTACTGGATTTCAAATTCAAAAATTTTTACCTCAAGAGAAATAATTGAGACCTGATTAACATGATGAATAAACCCTTGAATTGTTCTAGAATAATCTCCTTTAATTGAGAGATTTAAAAACGAATTCTCACTCAATAAAAATAAAGATGACATTAATATTTAAAGGCTTTCATTATTTAAATAAAAAATAAATAGAATATTTCTCACGATTTTTCGATTTCATTGTTATTTTCGCCGAAATTATTTTCTTGAAATAAAATCCAATGCGTAAATAGATCTGTATAACAACGTATCAATCTAGCCTAATGCAAATGTTAATGCAAATGTTGAGATACTTATTAAAAATTATATTTATTATATGCAGAATATATGATGAAATGAAATACCTTCCAACTTGATGATAATTTTTCATGCAGATTTTGTAATGGTGTAAAAAATTTCTCTGATAACTCTAAAGTAAGAAACCATAAAGAAAAATATGTAAATTAAGGAGGAAAAAAAAAATTATAGTATTGTTACTAGATAACCGACGTTCAAAAGGTTCGGGTCTTAAAAACGATAATAATTTAAATATTGCTTCTTGGTGTTCTATTCCGTCCCATGTTTGAATATATTTTACTAAAAATTCCTGTATAACGGGAAGCAGCTCCTAATAAATTAATGATATTTAAATTTTATAGTTTAAATGAATAAAAAGTAAGACTAAAAAAATTGAAAACCTTCATGAATTCCGTTAATGCAACAAGTTTCATCAATAAGCTATTAAGTCGTGCTTTTGTTTCAGCAGTATTATCATTCCAATATACTAATTCCATAAGGCATTGCTCAAGCCAATAACTAATCCTCGCAATAGTAACTTCTATAATAACATATTAAATTAGTAAAAAAATTCTACATAATTAACATTTTTACTTATTTTGCTAATTGATTTACGAACTTTCGGGGTTACACACAACGATATGTTGCAGCATTCGATTTTCCAGCACAGAAGCCAATTGACTCGGTAAATCGATTTTATCAATGCTGGAAGCAAGTGACTCAATATTCATAATTTCTTCCAAAGTTATTGAATTCTAATAAGTAGTTAAATCTTGTTAATATATAAGACTGAAAAAATCGAAACGATTGAAAAGAAAATAAACATTTCTTACTCGAGTCGCATTGAAAGTACATGCTTTTGGAATCTCCACATGATCTAATTTTCTCCGTTTTGCCTTTAATTAGACTTAAATTAATTAAAAATTCCTCAAATAAATAGTTTCATTATCATACCGTTGGTTTAAAACTCGACGATCTTGTTATAGGATTATTCATTATATTGTAATTCCATTTTCTTTGAATTTGATTAAATAATTGAAACCACTCAACATCGGGACACTAAAATAAATATGTTGATGAGCTAAATAGTTACAAGGAATCATATCTATCAAACTTTTATACCTTGAATGTAGCATTTTTTATAGGTGGAATGCGAATTGTTACTAAATTCGGAAAGAAATCTTTATAAAGGGTTAGTAATCCAAGAAGATGCGGTTCAGGTCCAAACCTGGTTCGAAGATCAATTCTATTAAAGAAATTATACTCATCAATTAGCTTTTAATTAAAAAAGAAGGTCCACGTAACGAAGAATACAAAAAAATTCGAAAATTACAATTTACGTATTCTGTAAGGTTTTACGTGTTCACGTCGTGTCATTAAATATAAAATATGACAGAGAAATGGCCTTTATAAAATAATTAAACTTATTAGAATAAGTTGATTCTTACGTGAATAGAAATAACTAAATTTTTACCTTAAAGTATCATACTCCATATAATGGAATATTACACCATAGAACTTTATCAATTGCGAATGATCTTCAATTACATTATAAACTATTATAATCCAACGGAGTAAAAGAGCCTTTAAATGAAATGCCAAATTATTATTTGATAGACACAAGTTATCATTTGATTTATCTTAAAAATACCTGAACATTGTAATTTAAACCTTTATTTCCGAGATTACTCAAAACTTTTATTATAAGAAAATTAGGTACGTTGGCACGCGGCAAAAGAATTTTTACGAGCCTTTTAATATCAACACATTCTGATATCATTTACCCATTTTTTTAAAATATATATATATATATATAATTAAATGAGAATTTGCTTGTTAATAACAATATTTTATGAAATATAAGCTCACCAAGTTTTCCAACAAATAAAATATTCAAGACTGCAGCTAGTTGCGATACTTCAAGACCATTTTCTGAAACCAGTTTAACTAATTCAACAATTTGATTTTTCACATTTTTTTTAACGTCTTTAACGCTTGCGTCTAAATTTTATTATTTATATATTTGTTCATAGTTTTTATGTAGCAAGAATAAAAGAATATAAAATATTAATAAACAGGATGCGTGTAATAAAAAAAATTCTTGGTCTGATAACATACTTTGAGCTATGTATTGTATCTTTTCATTGATAAGCATTTCGACATTTGTTCTTTCCGAGTGCGGGATTTGAATTTCTCGTTCATTTTTTTCGCGACTTGCGTCAAGCATGGCGTTGATATCAAAATAAGACGACGACGCGTCAAATTATAAAATTTCTGGAGAACTTATATTTATATCTTCTTGTGTAACCAATTTGGTCTGTAAACAAAAATATAATCAAACTAGTTTATATTATCAGTTATGGTATTGCTAAATATCACCAGCACCAGTGGTGGATTTATGATGTAATGCCGGTCAGTGTTTTATTAAATTTTAATTCAGGCCAAAAGTGCATATTAATGCTGGTATGGTGACAATCACCGCTGGTGAGCTTTAGCAATTTTCTTATATTACAACTAATTTTAACTCGGGGTAATTTAACCTGGATGATTTAAATTTTATATTTTATAATTTTGCCCAAATTTTCAAAAAAAATGTAAATTGTGGTCACAATCAAAAATAAGAAACATTGTCAAAAATGTAAGAAAACTTGGTCATTATGCTCTATAATGTCCAAATAAATAAAATCTATATAAAATGAAATGAATAATAACACAAACAATTTATTTTTTTTTAAAAAAAAAATGATTGATGTAAAATATAAATTTTATATTTGCTTAATAACATTTATCATATTAATTTATTTGTTTCAAAGATTGATAGTAAATTTATTAAAGAAATTATTAAAAAAAAAGTGCTTTTACTATTAAATACAATAAATTGACACATTTAACAATGTCCTACGTTCGTTTTTTACCAATTATTGTTGTAATGCAAATAATATAAAGTAACAATAAGTTTTATATATAACAAAACTAAATAATCAATTCATGTACAAGCTATATTTTCAACGGGCATTTTCCGTAATCTTTCCTCTTCTTCCTCCTTTAATTTCCTCTCTTCTTCCTCTATAAGTTTTTTAGCATTTTCTGCTTCTTCCATTAACCAGCACTTGGATGAAATTTTACATACTTGACATTCATCTTTGACATGTAATTGAACAGCGATACTTTTAAATATTGTATCTACGATCTCGGCACGTAAAAGTAAGGAATGTTTGCCACCTTCAATCAAAGATAATTTACAATCAGGCATATTATCTTCCATCCATTTTACTGCAGAAACTGGGATTCTTTCATCTTTTGTGCCGTGAAAGACATGCACAGGATGATTAATATCAGTATATGAAAATCCAAATGAATGACGTCGCTCAAAACACATAAGCAAATCATTATTAGCACCAGATAGATTTTCAGCAAAAGATGCTTTAAGAATTGCAAGCCCCAATTGTTGTTTTTTCTCAAGGCTTGACATTGGAGAAGCTAAAGCCCCAGAATTTCGTTGATGTGGCGGCTTAGTAGAATACGGTTGTCTTCCATGAATCATTTGTTGTAAAGAGATGCCTGCAGTGTTGGTGAACTTCATAACAGGTGTAGGAACAAAACGAAGCCATTTAAAATTATTGGCAACCGTTGTACTCACCCATGGGCATACAAGATATATAGTTCCTTGTAATTTTTCAGGTATCTTCATAGCACAAGCAAGTGCATATGGAGCACCAGCACTGTGTGCCATGATAAAAAATTTGTTTATATTAAGCATTTCACAAAGCTCTTTAATCACATCTTTTTTTTAAAATGAAAAAAAAAAATCAAAAAATTAGTCAGATTAAATAAAGGTAAATAAAACTTTTAAATTCACTTTTATAATTTTTGTAAAAAGTGTACCTGGCCATTTCAATACTTGTTGTTCCTCTACCTTAACATCATCTGAAAGTCCAACACCTGGTCGATCAGGACATATCAATCTTAACCCATAACTTGAGGCAAGATCATCAAAGAAAGCTATAAAATACCTTACACAACCCATTCCTAAAAAAACAAAAACCGGAAATCCATTTCTATCTCCCACTTCAGAAAAACTAACAACTCTTCCGTTTTTTAATCTAACACGCTGAGTTAAACGCGGCGCAGCTAAGAAAACTTTAATATCCAAAGAATTATCATCATCTGTAGTCTCATTAGAGGATAAAGAAGTTGTTGATGGTGATTGAATGCCAGATGTTGTATTAATGCTTGAAGTTGACGGAGAGGAGGTAGCAGAAGATGATTCTGATGCATAATCTTGGGAAAGGGTAATTGATGGTAATAATGGTGGAATTTGTGGCGGATCATCAGAGGATAACGAACGTAGAGTTGGTGTAGAAGGAGGTCGTGGTATTGAATTCGAACGAGGTATTAAATCGCCAGCTGTACTATGAATTAATGAAGCACGTGGAGTATTTGAAGAAGATTTTGGTAGTGGAAGAGCAGATTTGGGTCTTTGATTTGATTTTAATTTTTTTGTAGTAGATTTTTGTTTAGATGAATTATTATCTATAAGTGTTGATTTCGATGATGAAGTTAAATTTGATAGTGAACGTCGAATTGTATTCGAGACTCTACCACTTTTGGATGATGTTGCAGAATCTACTTTATTGTCTAAATCAAAATCCATTTCTAATTCGTATATATTGAATAAGGTGAATAAATAGGTGGTGTGTATATATGATACAAATTATTAAAACTACAAAAAATATATATATATACTATGTATTTATAAATAAAGTTGATGTTATGAACGGAGAATGTATAATCGTATCAATAATTGAACGTACCATAACATTGAATCCTTGTAAAGGAATAGAAAATAAGTATATAGTAATTAAAAAAAAAATGATGAAACTTTGCAAAAAAATTATATAACTTTATTAAATAATAATGCGAAAAATAATAAATTTTATTAACCCTTAAAAATACTATTAAAATGTGTTATAATACAATGAGAGGAAACGATCTAAAAAGAAAAAAAATTAAAGAGTGTATAGGCAAGCGATGAAGGAATCGTCAATATACAATATTAGTATTACAAGAAAAAAAAATAAATAAATAATGAAGTAAATAATAATGAAAAAGAGAATATATATTTTTTTTTGTTTAAATTGATATACTACTATTACACGATACACGTAGATTATAGTAGTAACAAACATCCAGAGAGAACCAATCGTTCACGTAGGAAATACACACTGAATAAGTAACAAATTTGTCCTTCATTAAAAAATATCGTCATCTAACAGATGCTCGACCCCTTTTTTTAAATGTCTCGCCATTTCGCTAAAAAAAAATTTTTTTAAAAAACAACCGATATTTATGTATAAGTTTCTTACAATTTATTTTTTTTAAAAAAAATTAAATAACGATGATCCCAATCGAGAATCAAAGCTGTGGTCACACTAGACCAACAAATAAGACCAATCATATAGAGGATTCAAAGACAAAACGCGTAACGGAAATTTTGATAATTTAAGCTTAGTTTTATACAATGCTATTATTCGTATACTTGATTTACTTGATCTACTCAATTGATTTAGATCGTAATAGAATAAAGTAATTTCCGAATTAACTAAGATATAATGAGTAAATAATGACTGATTATAATTTTCCTGTAAATTTACCTGTAATAATTTATTTCAACAATAAGTATTTCTATATTGGTAAAATATAATTGTAATAATGGGATCCTTAATAAATTTAACCAATTTTAAAGAATTCTTAAAAATTCTAGAATATATAATTTTTTGGACGATTTTTAACGCTCACCGGGGGTGAAATTCACGGGGTGAATTTCATCATCATATCATGTAACTACGATTTTTTTTTCATTTTTTTCATTTGAATAAAAAAATTTAATAACTATTCATAAACATAATAAATATAATTTTTTTTTTTTTTACATAAACACTCACTAGATTTTATTAATTATTAATATACAACAAACGTATATGATATATATACAATAAGTTACATATTATTTTAAAACAAATTCAGCTTAACGAACATACTCTCTTATCCAGTTACACCCTAGCCCCATTGGAACGCTAAATGTAATAAAAATTTTTGATTTATTGTTTTCATAATCCATTATACCAAAAGTTAACAAAATAAATAATTAAGGTAATTATATCTATTAAGAAGAATTGACAGAAATAGAAAATTTAAGAGGAATCAAATTTAAACAAAATCATCAAGAACAATATAATCAAGAACAATTAACGAAATAATCAGAAAGAGATTAATGAAAAGATGGATGATCATAAAAAAAAAGAAGGTAGCGTTCCCAAATTAAACAAAAAATGAAACAGGACGAAAAGGAAACGAAATATCACTCACCTTGTAAATTTAAATTCTCGGTCGATTTCCTCGTTTGAACATTCCTAAAAAAAAAAGAAAGAGAAGGGAACGTTAGTGACGTTCCCAAGTCAATAAAAAACGAAAAAAGAAATGAAAAAAAATGAAACGCCGCCTACTTGTAAACCAGAATACAGGTCAATTTCCAGAGTCTTTCAGCCATTCCTAAAAAAATAGAAAGAGAAGTGACGTTCCCAAGTCAAGAAAAAACAAAAAATGAAAAAGAAACGAAATGTCACTTACCTTGCAAAACTAAAAATACAGGTTGATTTCCAGAGCCGTTCGTCTATTCTAAAAAATAGGGAAAGAAAAGGAAATGTTAATAATGTTTCAATCGAAGAGGAAAACAAAAAAAGAGCAGAAAAAGAAGTGAAATGGCATTTACCTTGCAAAATGCAATCCCTAAAAAAAAAAAAATAAAAAATAAATACATTCATTACGCGATAATGTAAAATGATGCCAATCACGAGGTGTACCAAATGAAATACCCAGTGAATATCACCCCTAGTGAATTTTTTTAAATTAAACTCCGGTGACCGTCAAATAAATCCTTTTTTATAATAGTTTAATATATGTACATAAACTAGACCTTTTACATTAAAAAACAAATAATTATATGTATTATAGTCATCCAGCCTGACATGTTAAATAATAGATATAAATTTTTTTTTAATGTTATTTGGATCCGGTCACACCGCTATTTAAATATGATTGTCCATACGTGAAATTGAAATCTATTATTGAACCTGTTCACATTATTCCATGTTTCGGTAAAACAAATGAATATTTTGTAAATTATTTAAATTATTTTATTTTTTAAATATAATTCGTCTATTTTTTGATATTAGTTAAATGAAAAAAAAAGAATTTTAAAACTTAATTTAAAAAAAATAGTCAAATAGTTATTATTTTTTATTTATTATAATTTGTTTTAAACGTAAAAAAAAATCTGAAAATGTGCGTAAATCATAGTGCATTAAACTAGGCTAAATGATCTCTTAGTTTCAAATTTTAGTTGATCATTGTCAGTACGTTGTTTGGCAATGATCCATTGCAATGTGAATTTCCCATAAATGATGAAAATACATTAGACTTAACTAAATACAGTTTAGTTAAACTATTACTATCCGCTTTCCGAAGAAAGGTGAAAATAAACTATCCTAGTTACAAAAAATGATTTTTTTAATGCATTGTTTTATGCCAATGATGATAATCTCATTACGATACTTTTAAAAATCTAAAAAAAACCTCACATCCGGATTGAATTTCTTTTTATTTCGCTGGAACTATAAGATTTTTGGCCGAAATCATAGTCTGTTTAAAGTTGAAATTCATGATCTTTTTCAGCCATAATCTTCACATGAAAATATTCAAGTTTCATCTGGATTGAATCGCTATAGCAGTTGACCTGGCCCACATATCCAATTTTTGGAAAGAAACACTTGAAAATCTGCATTTTTTCATTTTTTAGCCTCATTATCGTTATTATCATTATAAGCAGTTTGACATGTTAAACTTAATGCCATGTTTAGTTAATCTATTACTATCCGCTTTTACTATCTAAAATTGTCCTAGCTACAAAAAATAAAACTAAACTATATTAATAATGATACGATTGAGTATCTTAACATATTGAATTTTACAATGATTTTTAATGCATTGTTTGCATTGTTTACGCAAATGATAATCTCATTACGATACTTTTAAAAATCCCAAAAAAAAACATCTCACATCCGGATTGAATTCTTTTTATTTCGCTGGAACTATAAGATTTTTGGCCGAAATCATAGTCTGTTTAAAGTTGAAATTCATGATCTCTTTCAGTCATAATCTTCACATGAAAATATTCAAGTTTCATCACTAGCAGTTGACCTGGCCTGCATATCCAATTTTTGGAAAGAAACACTTGAAAATCTGCATTTTTTCATTTTTAGCTTCATTATCGTTATCATTATAAGTAGTTTGATATGTTGAACTTAATGCCATTTTTCAAAGTTCCTGACCAAGTTCTTACCCATGTCTGCTACAAAGAAACGACTTTTAGTTTGTCTTGGAATTTGGTAAATTATCTCACACCACTTATTTCTGTTACCAGTCGCTCAAACGTGAATTTATTAACGTGCCTATTCTGTTTATCGTGCAATTAGCTTTGTTGGTTTTGCTACGAGTATTTTGGTGGTGACTTGTTTTGTTATGAGTAGTTTGGTGAGTTCTTTTACTAAAATAATTGTTTTCATAAGTATGATTACTCAAGATTCTTTTTTCGTTATCTAGCAAAAGCTTTTGTCAGATATAAGTATTGCTAATTATGCTGCTTTGTACACTATTGGAAACATTTTATTTTTCATAAGGTATAAAGCAACTTTATAAAATTTTGAAAAATTCCACCTTTTTACAAAAATTGATATATATTTTTTATTATTTTTTAGTGTCCTCGTTTTGTCTAAAAGTATAAAAGGAGAATTAAGTAAATAAATTTTGATACAATATTGCATTGCGAAACTTAATTTTTTGATACTAAACGTTTATTTCTTTTACTTTTTGTAGGTTCTGGACGTTCGGATGATGGAAATCAAAACGAACCGGTAAGTTTCGCAACATTGTGTTGCGAAACTTAATTTTTATTGATTTTTTTTTAAGAACGTTAACTAACGTTTCCTTTCTTCTTTTTGTAGGTAACTCACAAATATCCTTTTTTTTCGAAAGTCTGCTGGTCTGTTGTTGTAATTTGCCTAACATTAGCAGCCACGTTGGTTATCGCGTTTACAGTAAGTTCTAAATGGATATGTTTATTTACTAAAACATAAATCATACATAATACAAGCTTTATTCTTTACTCTTAAACACAGGTGGAAGATGATGTTTGGTGCATTATTTTGTGCATTTTTCAAGGGATGACATTATTTTGGTATTGGTAAGTATTTGTATTTATTCAAATTTAAATATGAATTTTTGATTCCCTGTTTATTGATTTTTTCTTTATTTTTTTTTTTTTTTCAGCGGCGGTTACATACTTTTGTAAGAATCACATTAAAAATTTATTCTTTTCTTAAAAGAAAAACTAATTTATATATTTAAAAAATTTAGGGATATTTACAATAAAGCGGTAGAGACTTATAATAAGGCGCAAGTTGCTTACACTAATGCGGAGATCTGTTTTAAATATATTAATAAAATAAAATAAGTTAGGTTTACTAGTTTAAGACGCATATATTTAATATGTACTCAATCTCTTAGAGACCTGAGTTTCTTAAATAATCCTTAGTTACACAAATTATTTATATAGCGTATAGAATAGCATATATATATGTCATATTAAACCACATTAAAGACCTATCTGTTTTGATGCGAAATTTCACTAGAACATATTTCTGCTGTTATTCTACCATTATATGCATTAGATCTCTTTATTCCACCAAGTTTTACTAGGAAGAATTTATACATAAAATATAATTAAATTAAATTTTAAATACATTTAAGAATATTTAAAACATGTAAAAAAATGTATTTAAATTTTAATTTAAGTATATTTTAAGTATAATTTATAAGTATTTGGGCAAAATACAATACTTTAAAAGCATATTTTAAGAGCATTTTAGATATATTTTGGGTATATTATAAGTATATTGCAAGTTAAAATTGATACTTATTTTAAATATATTGTAAGTATAAATACTGAAGAAAAACTCTCCCTGTAGATCTCTGGTCCAGAATTTCTCATGAAAAACTGAAGTTATTTTTTGAAGAAAACGTATAGGAAAAGTTAACATAGAATGGAAGAAATATACAATACAACTGAGTTTTCATCTAAAAAAAACATGGAAAGGTTATTGGAATTACCTAAACTTTTTTACACTAAGTTTCTTCACAACTTTACTCTAAAATATATGGACAGAATCTTGTTAGAATTTATTGCACTGGCTCTTTAGCATAATATGGACAACACAAAGAAGAACTTGGCACTCTTGTTCACCAGCAGCCATACCAGGAAATGTCTTTTTAATGCTCTTAGCTTTGATATTACTATAATCTAAAAGTATGTAACGGGAGGACCAATGACAATACTTATTGTGAATTATTATTAAAGCTTCTGCAACTGTATCTGCATCCTCACTGCTTATGAAAAAATAAACACCTACATTCTAACATCTATAGGTATTACGGGTATAAAGAGTAAATAGACGCCAATCGTATCAGTTTGTTTTATGTGTTGAATTTATAAGCATCAACCATCCATGACGCTCAAGCTTTTTTAATTACTCCGGATGCACAAACACAATACCTCTGGTAGACTGTTGAGAGATGCAGTACTTTTCGACACGATATCCCTACTCTGTTAAATAAGAAATAGAATCCAAAATATCTAATTTTAAGTTTGGATTTTCAATAAGATAAGTTTCTGCAGGCTCACGAACTTTATATTTGATATTTGCTACTTCTTTGCGCTTCAGCTTGCACGCAGATTCACCAAGACCTAACTCCAATGTTGTGTATTCCTTGATGGCAGATGTGATTGTTGGAGCTGAATAATTTTTAGCCGCTTCTATTTCAACTAAACTTCTAATAGCTTTTGGCTGTTTTAATCTATCAATTTCTGATAAAGAATAAGTGTGGTTGGGGAATTTTTATATCTTTCTACTTGAACTACATTTGAAGAAGCTATCCAAAAAACTTTAATCATCGCAAAATATATGTTAGATAGCTGTATCCTGGTTATTCAGCATTTTTCATTCAGAACATTTTCTTTTTGTCAGGTACTTGACTCGCGATGCTTCATAAAATGACAGGTGAAGGTTTTTCAAATATCACCATTTGCATATTTATACAAGTTCCATTTTGTTCAAATATTTGAAACTAACGGCCACCACTTTTCGTTAAAAACCTCCATTAGAATTTCTAAAGCACAGTCTATATCAAAAAGAAGATTCCGCTTTTTGTCTGGTGTAAAGTTTGATGCTGACGTTATTATTAGAGGAGAAGAAGTTGGAAGGACAGTTGATTGTGAAGAAGAGACGGATATGGCTAGTGAAAAAATTTGAAAAAATGTTTTTTTGAAAATAAATAAATAAATAAATGCATGATGTTGTAATAATAATAACACAAATTAAACTGACATTTCTGACTAATCCTGAAATTGTATCACGTGATTTGCTTCCGCTTTAGATGACCTTTATATAAGGAAATTATGCATCTTTATGCACTAATATTATACAAAGTAAACATATGCTTAAAACGAAACTATATGTGTCAGAAAGATCGCTATAAAGCCAGAATTATGGAATTAGAATACAGATAAAATTTTAGCAAATTTATAAAGCATATGGGCTGATTTGTCTACCTTTAATTAAAATATTGATTTTATTACATTTTTATTATACAAAATACTATATAATATACAGTAAATTGGGGGTGAGTATTAAAAAACTTTTATTTAATGTTATTATACTTTAAATTGGTAAATATTTCTTTTAAATTAATATAATTCTTAGCACTTACTATATATATTAAAAATTTGTATCTCAACTTTAAACGTAAATATCTCCAGATCTAATAATCCAATCGGCAAGCTCTTTTTTTGCTCATATAGACCAGATCAAGGGCTTTCTGAAGAGCCTAAATTTATAAAAAACGGATCAGTGAATCCCAAGATATTGCATGTTAAAAGTTCATACCCAACTTTAACGTAAATATCTCTGGATCTAATGATTCAATCGGCAAGCTTTTTTTTTCGCCTATAAAGTCCAGAACAAGGGCTTTCCAACAAGCCTAAAATTATAGAAAACGGATCAGTGAATCTTGATATATTTGCGTCTAAAGATGGTAATATAAATTCTGACATAAAATAATTATTTTTATTGTTTGAAAATATCTATTATGATACCATCTTTTATATGATATTTTTATTATACTTTTATAAACATTTATAGCTACTAAGACTATATAAATTTTTATTTTACTTTATATTTTATTAAAATATACTTACTTTTTAATAATATATGTTAAAAATTCTATATATATAAGAAATAGGTTTTTTATTAGTGAAATGGATTTTTTCACACTTCTTTTACATTTAATAATTTAAGTTTCGCAAATGTAAATTTTTGTTTTAGTCAAGTGATCATCAATCAGATGATTTTTTGGTATTACAAAACAATTTTGAGTAACAAAAATTATGAAAATCAATTCAATAACTCTTTTTAATGCAGAGTAGACAAATCAGCCCATATGATAGGATTGATCACCCTATCTCAGTAATTGGTTACTGAGACTCTCATTAAGCCTGAGTATGGTAAGGTCGCAGGTTCGATTCACATGATCACAGAAATAAAAAGAATTTTACTGTGGATGTTACCACAAATAGCGTGAAGATACAGGAATTAGGTAGTTGGACTGCACCATGGTAAATTAGTGTGTACGATTAGGCCGCACATTTCAACAAAGGGTTATGGTGTCCTTCTAACGTTCCTTATGAGGTCATTGGGATGGTTAGAGTCCTGTCTGTAAGGTCACTGCTTGCATACCTTGGGGGTAATTTTCTGTCCAGGTAGTCACTCAAATAATACCGCTTGGAGTCCAATGTGGCTAGATGGTTATTATAGATGGTAAAATCCTAAGTGCAATGACTTTGTGGTAGTTTACCTTCTAATAGGTTTAGGCCAACTAGGATATTCCTAAACAGACAGGTGTACTAGGTGAAGTATGGGGTTCAACTCCCCACTAGGCGGTGTAGCCATAGATACTGAAGTAATCGCATAATATGGAGGAATAATATGGAATAAAAGATCAAACAATAGAAAGTCACATGATTGGGTAAAATTAACCGGTGTAACCATAGATATCGGACGGGATTATGTAGAATCTTAATGAAAAGGGACTGCAGATAATGAAAGAAGAAAATGATCAAAGGAATTATGAGAAAAGAATATTTCCAGTCAGGCAATGGGATGAAACAAAATAGTTTCTGGAGAGAGAAATTAAAAAGAAGATAAAACCGTTGAATTGTATTTGAAGCAAAATTTTAAGTCGTTAAAAGTCGCAGTAATTAATCAATAAACGATCGACAAAGGTGATGAAATGGAGTAATCTGGGAAAATCTGGGAAAACTAACGAAGGTACAGAGAATCAACCAATGAAATTAGGAATTTAAAATATTAACGGATTAGAAAAATATTTTGACAATAACGTCAGAGAAATCATATACCTATAGTAGGGAAGTATAAGATTTTGAATTTAATAATTAATTGGAAATTACCAAATAAGGAAATTTTAGGAAGCACAAAGTAACACGAAGGGGCGCAGTAGATCACATGATAAGCCACAAAAGATGGATCTTTACGATATAATATTTGAAAGATTATTTTATTTTAAAGAAAAGATAGCACAGCCACAAAAGATGGATCTTTACGATATAATATTTGAAAGATTATTTTATTTTAAAGAAAAGATAGCAC